GCTGGGGTGGGGGAGGGTGGGAGTAAAGTAAGAAGAGATCCCAAAAAGGGGAGCAGAAGGCAGGGCCGGAGGGTTGCAATGAAAGCGAAGGGCCCATAACACCTGGGAAAGCGAAGGCTGTGACAAGAGGGGATGATGGACAGTGAGTGTCTGGGCGGTGATTAGCTCCCAGGGACACACAGCTGGCTGCTGACACGGAGGAGTAAAGCAGCTTTTGGTGTAAGGGTGCTCCAGAAACGACTAGACCTTTTATGGTTTTCTACAAAGGGCTTTAAGGTATTGGAATGGACAGAGGGAGGGGCCAGGGCTGTCACAGGGAGTAAACGACACCACCAGGCATGGCATAGATGGGTGGCTTGGACTTCCCAAGGGGAGAAACCGCCCTGTGATGAGGGTACAGCAGTAGCCAGAAAGAGACGATGGATGCGAGGAGAGCAGAGGAATGGGAGGGAAACCGCCCCATGGCAGACCCGGTGCAGGGCCGGGCCTCAGGGAAGGGTGGACGTGAAGGTGTCTTGCTTATTTCATGGCAGCAGGCCATGGTAGAGCCTGTCCTCTGGGCACACCCACTGGGGTGCTGAGGGTGGGGGCAGATTAGGTGGCAGGAACAGATGGGTGGACTCAGCTGCAGGCCACAGCAAAAAGTCAGGCAGAATACATGGAAAGCCAGCCAGAAAAAATGGGAAGAGGTAGCAGGTTTAGTTCAAGAAAAGTAGATGCAGGTTACCAGGCAGATGGAGCATGGAAACAGCCAAGGGGACCCTAGGAAGTGCAGCAGATAAAGGGAGCTCATCTAGGAAGGCAGGTGCAGCTTCGGGTCTCCCTGCCCCAGGCTGAGGGTCAGAAGCTGCATTTCAGGCCCTGTGAAGACTGGTGAGAGCAAAGCAGAGTCCAGTGTTACAGGAACTGGGCCCTGGGCAGGCTGGCAAGAGAGGGACCTAGTATTAGAGCCACAGTATGAGAGGAAGGCCTGAGCACAGAACCAACCGATAGTCTGGGATAGTATGGTTATCAGAGTGCTGCGCTCTGGGTCGGGGTGGGCCCCACACCGATGGGTCAGTCGACCAAGTTCACTTGGGTCTGACTGCGGGCCCCGGGGTCTGTTGGGATTTCCTGGGGCCCTTACTGAAGACTGATAGGAAGCCCTCAGGGTGTCTGGTGGAAGCCCTACTAACCCAGACCACGCTATTGAGCTCAACCACCTAAGAAACACACCAGTGTCCAAACAGATCCCAGATCTCCGCTCTTGAACCAACAGGGCTGACTGAGAAGGCCAACATTTAAGAAGATAACAGGCATGCATGCCACTGCCTTTCTGCTGTTTTTCAAGAGCGCAGAGAACTACAAGCTGTCTCAGCAGCGGCCCTTCCAAAGGGCACTTCCAAAGGGCGATGATGACAGCGCAGTGACGTGGTGGCTCAGACACTCCTGATTTCAAGGTTTGAGGGAACTCTCATCACTCTCTCAAGCTGCTAAAGTAACAGCTCCTCTCAGAACACACACGAGCTAAGGAAGCCTACGCTACGCCACAGAGAAAACTGGAACCTTTCTGACTCAGAATAGAGCCCCTTCCTTTCCTACTGGCCCTGGGGCCTTCACTCAGACCCTTACTCCTGCCTTCCAAACCCAGCGATGTCCATCCGCCCATTGCAGCAGTGCCTGCCTCCTTCAGGCACTCCCTCTCTACCCGCCCATTCCCCCTACACACCCCTCTGACCCTCGGGGCAGCAGAAACTGTGAGCAAGAGGCAATGCACAAGCTCTCCCATCACCCTCTCTCCTCTGACCCCCTCCTTCCCGGCCCCAGCACCAACAAGCAAGAGAGAAGGGATCACAGCAGAGATGGTCCCACTCACCTCTTTGTCCTCAAGTCCCAGGCCACTCCAAGCCCTGCTGGCCCACACGCCCACTCTGTAGTTTGCTGACCAAAGCACTCAGGGCCAGGGGTAATACGAGGACATGAGGCGTACCCCCTTGTTTAGGAGGGACACAAGTTTCTGAGGTTCTGAGCTGGGCCTCGGAGCTGGGATCTGCAGTCTTCATAGGTGGTAGCCTACATCAGGTCACAAAAGGTTAACACAAATTCTTATAGACTATCCAGAGACGTGATAGAGCTCTGTACAAAAACCATCCCAAGAAAGTGTGCCTTCCTTCTTCCATTAAGTCAAAAGAATTTACTGAGCACCAGCTACACGCGAGGCAGAGGCCTTGCCCTCAAGGAGCTACACAGACTAGAGGCAAGTGTGTAAACAGGTAAAAACCCATGAGACCAGGGCTGTGAAGCTGGACAGAGCAGTGGGAAGTGCGAAAAACATATTTATGCATTTCAGCATCTCTGAAATTGGGATGGCCTAAGTAACACAGAAATGCTCCACTCACACGTTTCTGAAAATAATACATGACTAGGTGAAGAGAAAACTGAAGGGGATTAGAGAATGACCTGCACACCATCAGACTGTGTTCATGAAGAACCAAAATTCTGGATGTCTGGAATAGTGCAAGGCTACAAACAGGACAATTTCTATTGGAAGGATTCAACTTGCTGAGTCTTTGGGGCTGTAAAGTAGACTCCGGACATGGAGGCCAGTGTGAACCTCACCCACAGAGCATCAGAGGCGGGGAGACCCATCTGGTGGGAGGAGCAGGGGAGAGACTGGAAAGATCCTGAAACAAAGCAAAGGACTTGATCCTTCAGTGGACAAGAAGTGCTTACTTAGGAAAGGGTGTGCTCCTGATGACCGCATCTAGGTCCTGCTGAGTGGGGACAAGAGGAGGATAGGAGAATGCACTTGTGTGAATTCTCAAAACTGTTGTCAATTATCTTTATGGGAATAAGTGAATCTGTGATCGTGGCATCACTGAATATATTGGGTTGTCAGAAAAGTAATGACGCATGTTTGCAACAGATGGAACTAGTTCATTTTTGGAAGTACTAGAGTCATTTGCATCTATGTTATTGCTATGTCATTTGACAACTGACAGTTCTACCTTCATTCTAAAAAAAATTGAGCGATTTGGTTGAGTTTTGGAGATTTTACAAGTTGAAGGTGGAAGACCAAACTGTCCATTTTTTCCATATTTTACTCTTTTACTTCCATAAAGGGAAGAACACGCCTCAAGCTTGTGAAAAGTTGCATAAAGTTAATGGTGACAATGCTCTACAAGAACATCAGTGCCAACGATGGTTCACGAAATTCCACGCTGGTGATTTTTATCTCAACGACACTCCTCGGTCAGGGAGGCCCACCAAGGTTGATGATGACAAAATAAAGGTATTGATCGAGTCAAACCCACGTTACATGACATGAGAGATTGCAGAAACATTGAACATCCATCATTCAAGCGTTCACAACCACCTGAAGAAGCTGGGATACATAAGCAAGCTCGCTATTTGGGTTCTGCATGAACTCAAAGAAGTTCATTTGAGGCACATATAAATATCTGCAATATGCTCATTAAACATGAGGAAAACGAACCTTTTTTGAAGCGACTGATAACTGGTGATGAGAAGTGGATTGTTTACAACAATGTGGTGCACAAACAGTCTTGGTGCCGATGTGATGATTCACCTCAAACGACATTGAAAGCAGACATTCATCAGAAGAAGGTTATGCTCTCAGTGTGGTGGAATTTTTAAGATGTCGTGTGTTTCGAGCTCCCACCAATGAACCAAACAATCAATTCGAATGTGTACTGTCAGCAATTGGGCAGTTAGAAAGAATCCATCATCCAGAAACGTCCAGAGCTTGTTAATTGTAAAGGAGTTGTGTTCTATCGCAACGACGCAAGACCACACAGAAGTTTGATCATCCGTCAAAAATTACTAGAGCTTGGATGGGATGTGTTGCCACACCCACCATACTCGCCTGACCTTGCGCTGTCATACTTGCACTTGTCTTGCTCTCTTCAAAACTCCTTGCATGGTATAACGTTTAATTCAGATGAGGCTGTAAATTGCACCTTGTTCAGTTTTTCACAAATAAAGACAGGTCCTTCTATGAACGAGGAATTATGAAGCTCACTGAAAGATGGCAAAAGGTTATCGAACAAAATGGACAATATATCAATGATTGATCTTTGTTCTTTATATAAATGACCTTTGAAAACTATAGACAAAATACGTCATGACTTTTCTGACAACCCAATAGGTTTGTTTGAGCAAATTATTTCTCCTTTCTGTGGCTCATTTTATTCATTTATAAAATAGGAATGATATTGGTATCCAACTCACACACGATAACATGAGGATTAAATAAATTAATACATGGTAAGCACTTAGAGTAAAGCCTGGTACATAGTATATGCTCAGTAAATGTTAGCTTTTATTATCATTTATTTCCTTCGGGTGATAGGGGGTGGCAAATAATCCACTATGTTTATATCAAATATAACAATATTCTCAAGTGGTTTATATACATCACATTTCACTTTGTGGAAAAAAAGAAGATGTAAATTATTTCAAACAGACATGTACATACTTTAAAATACTGAGTTTATTTTAAAAATCAGCACAGTAAAACCTGCTACACAAATTACTTTAAGCTATCAATGACAGACACTCCTATCAAGTCAAGTGTATACATTTTAACTCCTTAAATTAAAGGCCTTTAATTTCCCTTGATGCCTTTTTAATTCTGAGGTTATATAAAATTAAGAAAACATTAACATTAAACGAAAAACAATTTTATACAAATAAGTGGGATCAAGCAGCTTAAATTATCACCTGAAATTCTTGTGCTTCAGAGAAAAATCCCCGATGACGACACTATACATGATATAAAAAAGATTCACATTATCCCATGGGGTATGTCTCACATCACTCATCCTTCACATTTCTTTCACCAAGCCTCAGGCAAAAACTCGAGGGAACCTTTTTCCAGGCAGTGGGCTTATGCACATTCCTTTTCTTTCTTTCTTTTTTTTTTTTTTTAGCTGAGCCATCCTGCTACCTGTTGGCAACTCAGCGGCTGCTCAGCTCGGGCTGGACCCGAACCGCTGTTGCTCAGAGCTCACACTCTTGAGCGAGCTCTTAACCAACTGAGCCACTCGGCCGGCCCTCCTTTTCTTTTTCTGAATTTAGAATTTCTGAAAACACGGAGGCTTTTCTCTTGGTAAAATACGACTTAGGAGATGTTCAAGGACCAAGCTCTCATGGTTCTTAAGTTTCTTCGTTTCTCTGGAGAGACCTAGAGGTCTTCATACCATCCAGATCTCCCACACCATCCTCCCACACTAGGGTCCTTTGCGGTGTGGAAATGGACAAACTTCTGACCTCATCAGAGATGGAAGTGAGCTCTGTACCTTCTATCAGGCACAAGAGAAGGCCTGGCCCACCCGAGGTCCTCAAGCTTTCTCTGAATTGAGAAAAAGTTTTGTATACCAGAATGCGTCAACCCATAGCAATAAAAGACTCTGAGGAACTCAAAATGTGAAAAACCACCTAGGAATTGAACGTTAGAGAAATGTGCGCTTATTATTGCGCACTGATAACTGCTGGGTTCCTCTTTTTAATGAGCTGCAGTCGAGCAGAGGTTTGGCAGCGTAACCAAACCCTGTGCGCCCCCTGAGTCCGGAACCCAGTGGGGGCCAGGTGTCCTGACAGGAAATTGCCCAGGACGCAAACACGAGCCAGGGGATGGGACCAGAGAGTAACTGCACTATTGTTGGCATTAATGCCACCCGTGGGTTCAACAGCAACTTGACTCCCTGTATGAAATATACCTATTACCTTTCAAAACATTCTGCTCACCAGACTGAGGCAGTGGAATGAACATATTTCAATAGGAAAATTATACATTCAGTAAATATTCTATTGTCATAATCAATTCGTTTCCTGGGTACTGATAAATATAACACAGTCCCCACCACGAATGACCAGGACCATTGCTATGACAATGAGGAGGCGCAGTGAGGATGTCCTCACTGGCATTTCCTTTCTTTCAGTGGTCAGCACCTTTTGGGCCTGGGTGAGCAGCTGAGGATAAAGGTTTCCCGTGGCCTGGAAACAGAGGGCGGAGCTGTGCCTTCTCCAGAGCGACACGAGGGCCCCGTCTTGCGGAGCCTCTATGCAGCCGCCTCTAAGAACTCCGAGGTGAACACTGCTTCTGCATAACCGTCACACATATCCTGAAGTTCAGCGGCCACGTCTCCCAGGGCTTCATCGACCAGCTCATCTGAACAGCTAGAAGACAAACAACACAGCTAAAGGTACGAACAGCTGAATACGGGAGCTATTGTTTTACTCAGCTGAGGAACCTACCAAGTCAATTTTAGGATTTACACGGAAATTTAAAAGGCCAAGAAACTTCTGAAAAACAAGGTGAGAGGCCTTGCTTGCCTAGATATTAGAACGGTGACACTTAGATCCCAAAGTCAGGCTAGAGGGAAGGGCTTTCACTATACATGGGATGGAAATCACCCTTGAGATGGTTGAAACCAGAGGTGACCAGAAACTAACTTGTTGTGACTCCTGCCTGGCAGCTGCCTCACTGGCCTGACAGAGGGATGGGTGCGTGCCTTCTTTATGGGACAGGAGGCAAGAGACTCTACTTTTGTGTTTTCTCTCTCTCTCCACACACACACACGTGTGTGCACATACACACACATGACCACACATATGCACACACACATGCACGCACATGCCCACACACATGTGTGTACACGCGTGCATGCACACACACACAGATGCACACGTGACAAGCTTTTTTCCAAACTGTTTGAGAATAAATTGCACATTTGATATCCCTCAAGTACCTCAGTGTACAATTTCTAAAAGCAAGAACAGTCTCTTAGATAACCATGATAATTATAAAAATCATAACATTAACATCGATACAATACTATTACTATTGAATTTGACCCACAGATCTTTTTCAAATCTTGCCAACTGTCCAAATAACGTCCTTTAGAAGAAAACGTTTCCTAGCCCAGGCTCCACTCCAGGACTTGGCATTGCATTTAGCTGTCATGTCTCTTCAATCTCCTTTAATCTGGAATCGCTCATCAGTTTTTGTCTTTCACAACCTTACTTTTTTTTAAAGAGTAAAGGTCTTTTTTTTTTTTTGTAGAATGTCCCTCAGTTTGGGTTTGTCTGATGTTTCCTCCTGGTCAGATTCAGGTTTTCAATTTTTGGAACAAATGCCACAAAAGGGATACAGTGTCTCCTCAGTGCTTCTGTCTCACTGCTGAAGGGTGTTAACTTTTATCACCTGGTTACAGCGATGTCGGCCAGGTTTCTCCCTTTGTACAGGTACTATCTTCCCTTTGTAATTAATAAATATATTGTGGAGAGATGCTGTGTGACTATGCAAATACCCTGTTTCTCATCAAACCTGCCTGAATCTATTACAGGGTTGCCAACACTGATTTTCCAATTCCATCATTCCTTCTCCATGTACTAGTTGGCATTTTACTGTAATAAAGAGCTTTCCCTTCTCCTTCATTTATATATTCACTCACTCACTCACTCACACAGGGTTAGCCTTATAGATTCTTATCTCATTCCGCAGTTTATAATCCATTACTATTATTACTTAGCTTGATATGCAAAATGTTCCCAGATTGGCCAGTAGAAGACCCTTCAAGCTGGGCCCTGGGTCCTCCTGACACGCCCTATCACTCTCGGAACATTCCCTCTCTGGAACAACATGATGTGTCAGGCTAATCTGACATCTTCCCAGCCCTAGTCTCGAATCAGCCACTTCTCCAAAAACCCCTGGTTACCTTTTCATGAAAAATAGTACTTAAAAACCAAGATCTGGGTACTAAGTGTTCTCACTGCCCCTAGGCCCTCTTGGCAGACAGACTCAAACAGACAGACCCACAGACACACACACCCCATGTCTATTTCTATATCAAAAACCCTAAGTTCATAATATAATACGTCCAGTCCCAATTCAACACAGAGGATTCATTCTAGCCTTCCCACAGAAACCTGGCTCTCGCTGTTCATAATATACTTATTTGATCAATCCTAAAATATAGAGGAAGTCGTCTTACAATTGTTAACCTATGCTCCCCTGTGAAAGAAACCTACTTAGCAGAATCTAGTTTGTGTTTACATTCTTTCTGTCTTTAGCCAGAGGGCACAGTCACCATATCATGTTCAAAAGCTACTTAGACTAGCTCTTATCAGTCCCTGCTCCCTTTAGCATGATTATGTTATTTACTGGAAATACGGTGATGTTTCTGTTTGCATTGCAATTCCCCCCATCCCTGTTGATTTGGAGGGATGTAGAAACATTAACAATGTTCCAAAAGTCAGAACTGCGCAAAAAAGGTAAATGCAGGTAAGTGCCACTCACCTCTTCTCCTATCCCTTCTACCCCATTCCCATCCCAGTTGTGTGGCTATTCTGCCCATCTTTTGTCCTTTAATTGGCATGTCCTTTAATCCAGTTGATATATCTGAGCTTCTACTAAGAAAACACTCAGTATTTTCTATTTGTCTGTCTGTTCTCTCTTCTTCCTTGCCTTCTTGTGGATTTTCTGAATTTTCATTACATTCTTTCTTTGCTATTAACCTGGATGTTATATACTCTTCTACTATTCTTTCAGTGGCCACCCTAGATTACAATAAGAATCCCTGATTTAAAGTCTAACGTTAACTGATATTCTTGCCAGACAATGCAAGAACCTCAGAACACTAACTCTATTTATCATCTTCCTGACTTACATGCTATTGTTTTTGTTGTTTTACACATACACCCTTAAGACACCCACTTATCGTTTTATACAGTCAATATTAATTTACCTACATATTGATCTTTTAAAAAATTCATGCCTTCCTATATTTTTGGCCTTTCATCTGTGACTGTTTTTGCTCTGCCTAAAAGACATCCGTTTAATATTTCCTATTGTGAAGGTCTACTGGTAATAAATTCTCTCAACTTTGTTTGGAACCCCTCTTACCTTCCTTCTTGAAATATTGGGTTGTCGGAAAAGTCATGATGTATTTTTTCTATGTTTTTCGTTGCAAAAATGCGTCATGACTTTTCCGACAATCCAATATATTTCAACTGGGTTTAGAATTCTGGATTAGGAGTTCTTTTCTTTCAGAACTTTAAAAGATATGCCAGGTCTTCCAGCTTCCATTGTTTCTGTTTCTCTTTCTTTCTTCCTCTAGCTGATTTTAAGGTTTTCTCTTTATCTTTGATTTTTCAACAATACTATGATATGCCTTTGTATGGATTAATTTTTATTTTTCTTGCTTTGGGCTACTAGAGCTTCTTGAGTTTATGGGAATGTCTTTCATTATTTTGGGAAAGTTATCAGCCATTCTTTCTTTGAATGTTGTTTCTGACCCTGTCTCTCTCCAGTCCCTCTGAGACTCCACCCACATACCTATTAAACCTGGACCCTTTACCCTCTCTTCTTTATTTTCATCTTTTTGGTGTCTCCATGCCTCACTCTGGATATTTTCTTCTGTCCTATGTCCCAAGTCTCAAGTTTTTTCTTTGATGTGTCTAATGTGCTATTAAGTCCATCCAATGAATCCCTCATTTCAGAAATTGTATTTTTAAGTTCTATCGTTCCTTTGGATTTAGTTTGGTTCCCAGTTCTCTGCCAAAATTCCAAATTGTATCTCTATGAACATTGCAGTCACAGTTATTCCAATGTGTGTCTGACAGGTCTAACAGCTGGAACTGCTGTGAGTCTGTTCTTCTTATTGTCATGTCTCTCTGTTGCCTGGTTATTTTTCACCATAACCAGCCACTGTATTTGAAAATTCTAGAAATAATTTAAGTTATATATACTTTCAGAGAAAATGTATGCTTGCTTCTGCCTGGTGCCTGGTGGGCAATGATCTAGAATCACCTCAAACTAATTTCAGGAACTGAGAGTGTCGTCCCTGAGAATGTCTACTGGCATCCAGGTCACCCTAACTTCCAGAGTGCCAGCCTCAGAGTCCCAGTCAACAGTGAGGCAAGTTCACCAGGGCAGCTCCCCCATCAGAGCAAGCCCTGAATTCCCACCTGTGCCCTCTGAGCCGTAAGGGCCATCCAAAACGCCATGATCTCCCTCCAGAAGTGAGGTTCCAGTGCCATCCGGTGGGCTAAGCTCCCCGGGTCTCGGTCTTCTCCAAGTTTCTGCCCCAGTTACTCTCTATCACCTAGTTAACTTCCTGATGCCTGCCAGCGTGCATGTTTTATTTTTAATCTAGCTTTTCTATAAAGAGTTATCCTCAGCAGGAGAAGTGGTCCCAATTACCATGTGCATCATTTAAGAAACAGAAGTGACTACCTTGTTTTTATATTTGCTTTGCTTTTTTTATGCCTATCACTGATTCTTCTATACCACGAAATCATACTATGAAATACCAAGGTATTCCCAATACATTCAAACATATTAAGTAATATATCTGCTTTCTCCTTATTATTACTAATCTTCCTTCCCCTGCCTTCCCCTCTGGGAACCATTCCTCCTAGAGTCCTCCATCCTCTTACTCCAATCTGGACTAGTTGCTTTCTCTGCTCACTGAAAAATTCTTCTCTTGCAAATAGCTTTTGCCATTTTTCTGAAAGTTCCCACGTTGGAGTCTAACTTTCCTAAATCCTGTCTTCCTCTTTCTCGACGTACACCTTGTATTGGCGGCATGCATCCTCCAATAGCTTACTGACAAACAGTGCACGGGAACTAGATTGTTGGCTACTTTGCATACCTAAAAATGTCTTTATTTTTACCCTTATATTAATTGATAATTTAACTGAACACAGAATTTGAGGTTAAATTTTGGAAGTGTGCTCTAATATCTTCTAGCAGTATTGCTACCGGAAACAATATGCCATTCTCGCTCTGATTATTTGAATATGCCAAGTTTTAACTCTCTGGAACCTTTTGTCATCTTTTCCTTACATTGGAGTGCTCAGATTTCCTTTTCATAATGATGTGCCTTGGTGTGTTCTGTTCTATTTATTTATTCACTCACACACAGTGGACAACTGATGAACTCTTTCAATTTAGAGACTAACAGTCTTATAGAAATTTTTCTTAAAGTATTTCTTTGATAATTTCCCATTCCTGCTTTTACCTTGGTCTCACATTCTGGAACTCCTATTATTCAGATGTGCATGCTATGGACTGAAAAATTTGTGTGTGTCCCCCCACCCCCCAAATTCATACCTTAAAGCCTAATCCCCTGTGTGATGGTATTTGGAGGTGGGATCTTTGCAAGGTAATTAGGTGGGAACTTTGCGGGACTGGTGCCCTTATAAAAGAGAGACAAGAGAGATGATCTCTCTTCTCAGCCATGTGATGATATGGTGAGAAAATGGCTTCCTGTCAACCAGGAAGCAGGCCCTCACCAGACACGCTGATCTTAGACTTCCCAGCCTCTAGACTTATAAGATATATATTACTGTTGTTGAAGCCACTTAATCTATGGTATTTGTTGTGACAGCCAGGGCTGATTATGACATTGGATCTCCTAGAATAGTCCTCCAATTTTTAAAATCTTTTCTTCTCTATTATCTATCTCCTTGTTTCTTTTTATTCTACTTCCTGAGAGATCTGACTTTTTTCTTTGAATCTTTCTAGGGAATTTATTTCAGCCATCATATTTTTTGTTTTGTTTTGTTTTTGTTTTTGTTTTTAGCTGAGCCATCCTGCTACCTGTTGGCAGCTCAGCGGCTGCTCAGCTCGGGGTTGGGACTCGAACCACTGTTGCTCAGAGCTCAAACTCTTGAGCGAGCTCTTAACCAACTGAGCCACTCGGCCAGCCCTTTCAGCCATCATATTTTTAATTTCTAAGAACTTCTGTTTTATTCTTTGAAAGTTTCTTTTTTATAGTATCCTGTTCTTGTTTCATGGTAAATAGCTTCATTTATTTCTCTGAGAATATTAATTCCAGTTTGTTTTAATGTTTTATTCTCCTTCCTGCATTGTCTTGGCTTCCTCAGGGTTCTTTTTATCTGTTGTAAGAGGCTATGTGTCTCTCATGGCTTTCATCAAATGCCTGGTCATCTTACCTATCTGCTATATTCAAGAATGAGAATTTCAACCAAGCGCCCCATTTTCTGCCTCACTTGCACCCATACCTTACAAGCATTTGGTGCTTCTCATCCTGAGCCTTACCAATGTTCCTCTGCATAAATCAACTTGATTCTTGGCTTCACCCTCATCAGGCACTTGGCTCTCTCTGGTCTGCTAAGTCATTTGCTATTTGTCTAACTGCTCTACGGCTTCCAACATTTTATTGCTATTTCTTGTTTGCTACCACTTATAGGTTCATGCCTTTTATTTAGTCTTTTAGTGACATATCACTACATAAGGATACAGGGAGTCAAGACAAATACATTATGCTCAATGTCTTTTTCAACCAGAAGTCTCCTGATTTGTTTTTCAAACCAGGAATCCTTAAAAATTTGCTTTCCGAAAGCATCACCTTAAGCCTTTCCTTTCACAATCACTCTTTTATTTACATCTAGTTTACATCATCTGCTTCCTTTGATCAATGGAACAGCGCTTTTTTTTAGGTGTAAGGAGAAATGGAGACATTAAAAGAAAAAAAAATTCATGTAAGTTCTCCCCACACAAGAGGCTATTAAATGAATTCAACTGTCTTAGAGTGATCTTTCAAGATCTGATCAATACAGCTCTCCTTTTGAAATACTCAAATCAGAAACAAAAACAAGAGAGATCAAAAACAAAGCTAGGAAATTCAGATGCACTGTCACGTGAGGACCAAGAGCTAGCAGAGGAGGAGAACATTTATAAAAATCCTGGCATATTTTAACAGCGCTGTCTTCCATACTTTAACCTATTGTTCCTGTAGGCTGAGAGCTTTTCCCTACATCAACAAAACAACGATGAACAAAATGTATCATTTATCAAGTGGTAAGAACACACAAGGAATAGTCTATCTTCCTTGACTAGTTTTTGGATTTCCCAAAATGCCAGTTAGCCTAAACAATCCAGACAGTTCTGGGAAAACAGGTGAGCATGCTACAGGACTCCGTGTCCACACATAGAAGCAAGTCAGGTTTACCTATTATCCTCGCCCACAAAACAAATGTGTATCTCAACCAAAATGAAAGGTCTCATATGCTTCAAAAGGCACTTTGTATAAAGAGAAGGCTCAGGACTTTAGGTTATACCTGAGGGGCTGAACATAAGCGATTATGTCCGATCTTACCCAAAATGCCAATAAAATGAATGGAAATAAACGAATACATAAATCTACAAGGTGAAAAAGACAAAAGTACATGAGAAATGTTCACTATTTTCAGGAGATACAAAGCACACAGAAGAATCATAACTGATTCAGCAGTATAGCGGGCGGGAGGTAAAATCCAAGAGTCTGTAGAGGAAGATGCCAAGGAAAAGCAAGCTGATTAGTCTCACAAAACATCAGAAAGACTCGGAAGTAAGAGTACTGAGAATCTTGGAAGTGGAGTGAGGTACGGGATAGAAAATGAGAGCACGGGTTGAAGATTTGCAGAATGAGCAACTAGATTGACAGGTCTCCACCCCTGCTCCTCGCAGCTAAGTGACAGTCCCTCCTTCGCCCCCACGAAAGAAGGAAGGTGTATATTCTTCGGAAGTAATAAACCCATAATTTTAAACCCAGTCAAATCATCAGTCAAGTATGAAGATAGAACAAAGACATGTTCAAACACGTAAGTCTCAAGAAATTTCCTCCCATACACAAAGCAGGATATGCTCCATCAAAATAAGAGCGTAAATCAAGAAAGAAGGAGATAAGGGCACCAGAAAATAGGGACTCTAACATGGGAATGAGGTCATCTAACACTCAGGGAGAAGAAGAAGGAAGTCCCAGGGCAAGAGTCACACGCAGATCTAGAAAGCAGCCGGGCCAGACAGGTAGGAGAAAGGGTCTCAGGGGAAAGACTGCGTGTGTGTGTGTGTGTGTGTGTGTGTGTGTGTGTGTGTGTGTTGTTGTTGGGGGTGGGGTGAGAAACAGGGGTTAACTGATAGTATTTACCTGATCAAGGACATTGAGAGGTGTTGGCTAGTGTGTGTAGTGTGTGAGGAAAGAATAAACATATAAAAGAATAAGCAAACAAAAAAGAAGCAATTATTAACTCCTGGACTATGTTTAAAACTTCTTCAAGAAAGGAATGGAATCATAGTATACTATGGCCTCAGTGATGAAAAATATTTGCATGTTCGTAATAAAGTGATACCCATGAGGAATTTAAATTTGGGCCCTATTTAAAAAGAATGAATTTACACATATTTTTCAACTAACTACAGAAAAAAAGGCTATCCATGCTTCAACAATTTGGTAGCAGTAGGAGTATGTTTTATGTCTCCACAAAACGACCTTTCTCAGGGGGGGCGACTCTCAGAAAGAGAAGTTAAAGAAGATGTGGCCAAGTCCCAAGGCCTGCTGCTTCTCTGTGCCTTTGTCCCAACCGTGAAGATTTCACCATCACAACTGCTTTTGGCCCATAATTCTTCGTGTTGCCTGATGGACACAGCCCTCCCTAAGAGCAACAGGAAGTCCTCCCTGGCTTGAATATTGGGTCCTCCTGAGAAGGCGAGGCTGCAGAACACTCCTTTGGGTGGCATCACCCAGGCTGTTTGACAGTCTCCTCTATCTGGAACAAAGGTAGTCAGCAGAGAAACCTGGCCACTAGCCCAAAAGCAACCACCGAAATGAACTCCAGGGCCCAAAAACCCAGCACAAGACCTTAGCCAGTCTCTTCGCTAGTCTTTCTGTCAGTTAACATTTGGCACTTGGTTCCTAACCAGAGGCACATAACATGCCACTGACCTTTCAGCAATCAGCCACGGATTGAAGGAGCCCACGGCCTCATGAGACACCATCCGGAGGTACTGCTCAAAACGGCCGCAGTAGTCACCAATGCTGGACCACATTCCGGCTGGGACAGAGAGGGCAAGGAGGCCCTGTCTCCTCTGAGGATTCTCTGAAAGGGGCGGTAGGGGAGCCTCTCTTTTCTCCGATTTCTCCTCCATGCCGACATTTTCATCCAGTGAACTGAGAGCAAATAAAAATGATGAAAGCATTCAAAATCACCTGTAATCATCAAGGGTAAACTGCTCATTCACGCTGATGGTTTGGTAACCAAAGGCTTACTTTCATTTTTCATTCTCACGCTGAATAAAACTCAACCTCTTATCACCACTCACTGTTTCCCGTTTTCCCTGGACTAACCCTCAACATGGTAAGAATTCCTGTCCCATAGACAAAAGAATTCTTACAGCAAATCTCGCGGTAATTATCAGCACAACCACGTGTGCCAATGTGATGCTTTCAACTGCAAAAACGAGGCTCCTTAAGATACAACATACTCTGTGCCCATCTTATAAACATGCTGTTTTACTGAGCCATCTTGGAGATTGGCAAGATCTTGCTCAACAGACTCTCTCTGACTTGTAGGAATTGAAGGAACACGAAATTCAACACCATCAAAGACCACCGACTACCTACCGTGCGATCAGAGCCTGCTACCACTTACTTGCCATCGCAGGGCCTTTCTAACACGATGGTCACGTTTGGGTCTTTGCAAGCTGCTGTCTTTGTGATCCTAATTGGACGAGGAGACAGGGGCCTTTCATTTACTGCTGGGGTTTTTTGATCTAGAAAAGGAGAGGCATAAAATGATTTCATATAAAGAAAAGTCAACGTATATACCAGAGCTGTCCTAGTGACCGATATCTGTGAGGAAGTTACATGCATACCTTTTAAGCATAATAGGTTTAGAGAGCAGTGGAAAAAAAATGCTCTTATTTTAAATGAAAAGGTGAATTTAAGTTACAAAGAAACAAATGAATGAGGAATCAGTTATGAGAAATAGCAAACTTTTGAAGCCCTTGCTAGCTCTGAGGAAGACTCCCTGAAGGGCTCTGTGCAAGCCCCTGGCTATGCGGGTTCCATTAGGATCCAGCCACGCACTGGATCTTTAAGCAGTTGGGTTTATTTTTTAACCTTTAAATGGTTTGATTAGGGAGAAAAAAACACAAACACTTACACCTGAACACTTAATTAGCTGACTTAATTTGTCTACAGGCATTGTTGGAAAATCTGCATGATGATAGTGAAAACATTAACTTATTAACTATACCTTGCAGGCCTGACAGCTCTTTTGAGTTTTGCATTATTTATCATTTTAAATGCATTTCAAGTGTAGGAAGAAGACTGGTCCTTCTCTTACATAAGGAGCACCTCGAAGTCAAATAACTTTCTTTGACTCATTTATATGCTTATGCTCTCTTAATGTCAGAAATAGGGCATAAGTCCGTTTTTATAAAAATATTACTGAGAGTACAATCAACTTACAATTGTTCACAGAAAGAGAGGCTATAGAGCTACAGATTAGACACTTCACAATTCAAAACACCACTTTAAATTTGGTTATGGGTTGCAATTGAACATACAGTCAGAACAACTAGAACCATAGGGTTGTTACTATGATTTCATGATTCTGGAATTAAAGTGTCCAAAAATTCATTTCAGTTCTTAGTGCTCCAAAGAGTTCCTTTTCAATATACACCTAGACTTTATGCAGAGTCACAGACAGTCTTAGTAATTCAAACTGCCCTTGAAGAAAAAAGACCCCGAGTTCTAGGTAGGACTGTCTTTTGCATGATGCAACCTAACTTTGCGGCCAATGGCCAAACCATCAGTGGAACAAACTGCTTTCAACACTTCCCTTTCTTCTTGCTTCCATACAAAAGACGCTACAATGCCCACAGATGCACTGAGCCATGATTAGAAGGGTCCTCCTTCTAATCCACGTGCTAGGCACAGTGGGGGACACAACTGAATATGACAAACTCTCTGGCCTCAAAGAATCTGTGGCCTGGCTGGGAGAGATAAGACCCCTCTACAAATATAATAGCTCTACAGGGGGTGACCGGTTAGCTCCGTTGGTTAGAGCGTGGTGCTGATAACATCAAAGTTGCCAGTCGGATCCCCGCATGCGCCACTGTGAGCTGTGCGCTCCTTAAAAGAGTCAACTGTGCCACTGTAGCATGAAAGCAATGTGTAACCAATGACCATGGCTGTTCTCCAATAAAATTTTAAAATATATATAATAGCTCTACACATGGTAGGACAGGCCAGAAGTCTATGGGAGCTCACAGGCAAAAAGGGAGTCCACAGCCAAGTTCCAGGGTAGGAACACCAAGAAAAGCACTGCAAGCACAGCACAAGTGGGATCATGTGAGTCAGGCCTTGAAGAGTGGTTTGCCTGTTATATGAGGATGATCATGGGAGCTGCAGCGGCGTTGGTGGGAAGACATGAGCATAGAATAGAGTGCTTGAAACTTACAGAAAACATAAAAAAAAATATTAGTATTGTGTTTAGATGGTTCATCCTTCTGTCAAAATTTGACATGGAGAATACTTTTTCTAACACAATACCCCAAACTCATATTAAATAACAAAATTAGGGCCGGCTGTGTGGATCAGTTAAGAGCATGAGCTCTGAGCAACAGGGTCACCGGTTTGCTTCCCACATGGGCCAGTGAGCTGCACCCAAGCTGAGCTGCCAATGAGCTGCCAACAGGTGGCAGGATGGCTCAGCTGGTGAGAGCACATGCTCCTAACAACAAGGTTGCCGGTTCAACTCCCACATGGGATGGTGGGCTACGCCCCCCCCCCGCCCCCCCGCAACTAAGATTGAACACAGCACTTGACCTGAGTGGCCGCGAGCTGCCAACGGGTGGCCAGATGGCAACTGGACTTGAAGCTGAGCTAGCTGTGCCCTCTACAAACTAAGATTGAAGGACAACAACTTGGCTGTTCCCCTTCCCCAATTCCCCAACACTGTTCCCCTCCCCCAATTCCCCAATAAAATCTTTGGGGGGAAAAAAATATATGCAACATAGGCTGCTGTTACAAACCTTCTATACCCATAATTTCCTTTACATCCCTCAGTGCTCATCATGCTTGAATTCCCTTAGAGGTAATGTTTAACCACATTTTATTCTCCTCCTTTCATTGAGGAAGGTAGTTACTTAAGCATGACTCAAACAGAATTTGAATAACACTTCCCAGCGAAAATTGTGATAGTAGCCTAGCAACTGCAGCCAAAATGCACATATATAAATTTTTTAAAGTGGAAGAGAAAAGTGAAGTCTTTTCAACAAATGGTATGAGAACAAATGGTTATCTATTAGGGGACAAAACGAGCACTGAGAAGGAATGAACTACTGATATACAGGGTGGCAGGCTGCCTAATGCCCCCCAAGGTGTCCACCTGCTAATCCCTGGAAACTGCGAATGTTCCCCTCCCTGGCAAGAGGGACTTTACATTAAGGATCTTGAGATGGGAGAGTATCCTGGACTATTGGGGTGAGCCCTAAATGTGACCAAAGTGTCCTTAAAACAGGCACTCATGGGAAGATGTGATTACAGAAGAGAAGGCAATGTGACAACAGCAGTGGAGCCTGGAGTCTTATGGCCACAAGTCAAGGGCAGCAGGCAGCCTTAGAAGCTGCCAACACCCCGAGTTTAGCCCTTTAAGACTCACTTTAGACTTTGGACCTCCAGAGCTGTAAGAGAATAAATCTGTGGGGCTTTTTCTGTTGTTGTTGTTTTTTGTTTTGAGCACTCATATTCAGAGAAAATTTGATAAAGGGAGGCATCTTGTCCAAATGAGTAGAAGAGAGAGGATTGTATTTTATTTTATTTATTTATCTTTTTAAAGGAGTTTCTGTTTGTTTTTTAAAGGAGGGCACAGCTCACAGTGGCCCTATGCGGGGATCAAACTGGCAACCTTTTGGTGTCATCAGCACCACGCTCTAAACAACTGAGCTAACCGGCCACCCCCAAATCTGTGTTTTAAACCACTAAATTTGTGTTATAAACGTAAATCTGTTACAGTGGTAATAGGAAATAAGTAACATAGATAGATCTATAAAACATCATGCTGCATGAAACAAGCCTTAGACAAAAGAGGACATGCATGTCTAACTCCATTTATATGAAATTCTACAACAGGCAAAACCAATCTATAGTGAAAAAAAGCACAGTGGTTGGCTGGGTGGTAGAGAACTAACTGGGAAGGAGCATAGGGAACTTTCTAAGGTGAAGATACAGTCTGTTTTGAAAGGAGTTTAGGTAACAAAGGTGTATCTGTTTATCAAAACCCATCAAATAACACAGTTAAGATCTGTGCACTTTATTATATGTAAATTTTATTTTTTTTAAAAAAGAGCCATAAATAAATATTAAACGCTAGCTGTTGATACAAATGTTGAAATGTTTAGGATGACATGTACTGATGTCTGTAACGAACCTTAAAAGGCATCCAAAAATAAGAAACATTGATGGATGGATAGAGGATAAATAGACATAAGATAAAGCAAATACAGCAACATTTTAATTGTAGAATCTAGAAGGTGAGCATATGGGTGTCTACTGTGGAATTTTTTTCAACTTTTCTGTACGTTTGAAATTTTTCAGAATATAATGTTGGGAAAAAAGTGGAAGGAACACTCACCATTTTTTTCTTCCTGCATCCCAAGATGAGGATTAGTATAAACTGTATTATATCTGTGGCGAACTTCCTCCTGGAATTTCTTAAAACAAAACAAAAAACAAGTTTAATTTATGAGAAAAAATTAGTTTCATTACAAACCAGAGCTAGTAAGAATGTAACAGTTCAGCAGATACGTTTGATACAGACACCCTGCCAGAAATGGGCATCTGCCAGGCTAGGAAGTGATCAGTTTATGAAGTGAGGTCTAAACTAAAATGAAGCTATTAATCTAGTTAATCTAATTGAGACCACCGCTGCCCACAAGAACTTGCTATGATGATGGAAATGTTCTATATTTGCCATGTCCAATATAGCAGCCACAAACTATTGACTACTTGAAATGTGAGTAGTGTGTTTAATCTTAATTCACATTTAAATGGCCACATGTGGCTAGAGACTACCATTTCGGACACTTCAGGTCTAGGTAGTTACCCCCAAGACGGGGAAATCAGTTCCACGACTAGGATAAATCTTTAAATTTTTAAAAAGCAACAAAAAATTGTTTTCTCTATAGTGTTTTTATTTAGCAGCAAAGCCAAAGTGAGATTTAATCACAGTGCAGTTGAAAAGAAAATGCTGAACTGGGAGTTAGGAGACCTGGATTCTCATCCCACCTGTGGCAGGAATTATTTTGTGACCTTGGCCTCATCACTCCATTATTGTGTCTCAATTTCCTGTTCTGAACAATCCCAGGGTTGAGCTGGGTAATTTCTGAGGTCAAAAATTCTGAGAAAAAGCATCCTAATGTGGTCCCATGGGAATGAAAAGGTAAGCTTATCTGTGATTTGTCAGGATCACATGCTCGTGGGGCAGAAGAGGCAACGGAACAGCGCTGACACACGGAGGGATGAAGGAGTCGATGGGCCTGGTGTTTTTCGAATCATGTATCAGTGATACTGGGGAATATTAACAATGATCACTCCCTGAGTTGTCAGGCAGTGTCACTTCATGCTTCATTTTATCTTTACTTCATGCCTCATTTTATCTTTAAAAACACCCTACTTATTAGAGAGGGTAAGTAACTTCACCAAGGTCCTGCGCTCAGTTGGCAGTTAAGGCAGGATTTGAAGCCACGACCGTATGATTCTGAAGCACTAGAGCTACGTAAGCTACATAAGCTGCACTGGGCAGAGGCCAGTCCCCCGGCCAGCCGGAGCCAGCAGCACCAGGCCTTACCTCCATTTCCTCTATTCGCATCAACATGGCCTTCAGACGGGAGCTGTCCTTGCTGTCCCCCAAAGAGGCGAAGGCGTCAGGCTCCAAGATCTTGGAATGAGTCATGGCCCAGGACTCACGAGAGGAATTTTCTAAAGAATTATCTAGCGGACGAACGTTGTTGGATTCACAATCAACAGCAGTAGTCTACAAAACAAGGGAGGGGAATGGAAGGACAACACAAAGATAACACAGGAACTTCGAGATTAATGGTTCATCTGGCAGAGTTTCTACATTAAATCAAACCTCTCTTAGGTCAGTAAATATCAAACGCAATCACATCAGTACAGTTTTTTACCATAGTCATTTAAATGGTAGCATTAATAACCAAATAATACCATTATTGTCCTTGTAAATTATTGTTATTACCTGTTTTGCCAGTTGGTAAAGCAAATATGTTCCTTGTGCTAAACTCAGAAAGATGCCCAATATTTTGCATGTCTCAGACTCCAGGGGATGTATCTATTCTTGTTTGGTTCAGTGCTTTTGGAAAGACATCTTGTTTTGAGACTTTCTACCTACATATAACCTGGCAGAGCTTGGCCAGCCTTTCTTGATTTTGTATTCTTGACATTCACAAAACACTTTATACCTTACAAAGCATTTTCACATGCATTGTATTTCTTTTGATTCTAATATACGTATGTCTAGATATTATAATTCTAATATATGTCTAGAATCTGCTCTGAAAGAGGCTTTTGCAAACAGTATCTGCTAACGAAATGATAGCAGGCTTTGGAATGACACATTTCTGGGACGAAATCCTGGTTCTGTCCACTGATATGCCTGCAACTGTAGGCAAGTTCACGTAACCTCCCTCGGCCTCAATCCTCTCATTTGTAATATGGAAATAATTATCAGATATTTCAGAGCTGTAAGGATTACATGAGCACTTGCATATTGGGACACTTATGCACAGTGGCTGGCAAAAAGTAAGACACTCAATGAATGGTTACTGCCATAACCAATTTTAAAAACCTTTTAATAGTTCACAGAAGAAAATGTATGAATGACCAATAAAGATATGAAGACATGTCCAACCTTAATCAAAGTTAAAGAAATAAAAATTAGTTGAATAACCAATACAATAGAATTACAAAAAATCTAGAGACAAGTAAACCAATAATATAGGTCTAGTTAATTAAGATGTGTGTATCTATACGTGTAATAGTTTTCATCTATAAAGAATGGAATATTAAGGGTACTATATGCCATTAAAAGAGATAAGGAAGGTCTCAATATGCTGATATGGAAAGATCACCAAAATGTAAAGAAAAAAGCTGGGTACAGAACAACATATGGTATCTTTGTGGGGAGGTTTAATTTTTAATATTATACTTTTTCAGAACTGTTTACATTTTTAGCCATGTGCATATATAACTTAAAAAAAACATTTTGGAAAAATATATTTCATTTGTAAGTTCAGTTAATGACAGCAGCAGCAGCAACAGACAAATATTTTATAATGGTACCCTTCTAAGAGCTTTGTCCTGATATCAGAAATTGTCTTATCTATAAGTAAATCTACTGAGAGTTGTATTTTACTTGCAAAGTGCAGCAAGTGTCTTCTCCATTTTAGAAATGAGAATTCCGAGAATTTGCACTCAAGGTCACACAGCTCTTTTTTTAAGTTAACACAGCAAAAAATCGTTCTTTTTCCTTCATCATGCCAACTTTGATAAAGTTTTCGGTTTGTTTGTTTTTATTCCTTTATTTGTAAACATTAACTCTTGATGGTGCTGCCTGGGGAACTCTTCCCAACAATCCTGATGTTTAACAGCATCCCAGAATACTAAATACTGGATAGAGATACTTTTTCAATAAACTGTATTAAAGACTATTTAATGCCTACAGTACAATTCTTATATAGAAGGCTGATCATTCTTAATAATATTCAAACACGTCTACTTCACTGACAACATAATCATTTCATTTTTCTTTCATAGAAAATGCCATATTGGAGTCGCCTCCCTAGTTAGTTGTGGGTCTCATTACTTTGCTAGGAAACAAGTATTATTCGATGGCTGTGCAGTACAAAACATCAACCCACAGCACACCTGATGTGTAAGAGCGGAACGCAATCTTAGAAGCCTCATGTGACATGAGATTCTGTCCCAAAATATTGGTACCGTAAACTTATAATACAAAGGTGATGCAAAAATGCTGCAGCTAAACCATTGCTTAATCATTAGAATAGGGCTGCACCTTCTCACAAAAGCTACTTTCTTCCTGTTCCTAAGGTCGTTGGGCTGGTGGAGCTTCATCCCAACTCCCTTCTAACTCGGAAACCTTCACACTTGCTCTGAGCACATGAAGCATTAACTTCTTTCCAACCTCCACAAAGACGCGGTGGGTGCAACTGGCCCCTGCCACTCACAGCCCCAGGCAGGGCGGGAACATTCCTGCACAGATGAACCACAGTCCTCCCGAGGAAGAGCGCAAGGGTGGACAACCACGGAACGGGTTGGGTTTTTTCCCCCCACTCAAATGCTATCGTTTTTTTCCTGCTCTACCTTTGCTCTCTCTTAGGTCAGACACAGGTCATTATTGGGCTCTGAAAACCTGCTTGCTTAACAACAAATAGGAGGCCCCTACGTATAAAGGAAATTAGGCCGGTAATGAGCAAAACTAGGCTAAATAAAAGGAAATGAGGACAGCCATTCTTCTGCTGCAGGCCATCAACATTCAGGGTCACGCAGGGCACCCACATTCTGTCATCAGGAGGAGAGGGAAAGAGCCGCTGACAAAAACCTGCGGCTCGAGAGATTTCTGTGAGCTGTTTGCAAGGCTGATCTAAGTCATAATGCTAAATATACACTGTAAGAACTGACATACCAAATGTAAAAAATAACTTCCACCCTTCTGGAGTAGGATAATCTCGTGTTTGCACAGCAATCTGCACATGATTTTCCTGACACCCGAAGGCATTACCCCGTAATAACACCAGTGTCAGTCTGTAATACCCACACCACACAACACACACCTCCTCTGTAGGCTGGGCTGTCGCTGTGCTCACTGACGGCTGACCCTCCAAATGAGTATCTGCTTCCAGAGAAGAATTGACTCTCTATCAAAACAGACAAGCATGTTCATGAATTATAACAATGTACAACCCATACGGTACAAATGAATTCTTTTACCAGAATAACTTCTGTGTTCATCAGCTTTAGCTACATGAGGCTTTTTGCAGCAATTCAAAGCACTTTGTCACCATGAATTTAAATGCTACATGTTGATCTTGGCTTTCTGCCCCCTTTCTTCCCTCAACTTTATAAACATTGTCTGAGTAGCTGCGTTGTTTTGATGCAATTACTCTACCTCTCTGTTCCACAGTTTCCTCATTGATAAAATGAGGAGGTTGGAATGATTTGGTCTCTGAGTGCCTTCCTAGTTCTATATTCCTGAGATTTCCATGAACACTAATCATAATTTAACTTTTTTTTGGGGGGGGGGGGTGTAACTGTGTGTTTTTTCCAGGACCCATCAGCTCCAAGTCAAGTTGTTGTCTTTCAGTCTTTGTTGTGGAGGGTGCAGCCCAGCTCCAAGTCCAATTGCCACTTTCAATCTAGTTGCAGGGGGCACAGCCCACCATCCCATGTGGGAGTCGAACTGGCAACCCTGTTGTTAAGAGCATGCACTTTAACCAATTGAGCTATCTGGCCGCCCACTGGCAGCTCAGCTCATTGCTGTTTTCAATCTAGTTGTGGAGGGCGCAGCTCACTGGCCCATGTGGGAATCGAACTGGCAGCCTTGTTGTTCAGAGCACACGCTCTAACCAACTGAGCCACCTGGTCACCCCTAACATTTCTTAAACTAGAGATACTGAAATTCAGTGGCCTATCCAGGGACCCAGAATTCGTTCCATTCGTTCCATTTAAGATGATAATATTCTTCTGTGGCCTCCTCTATTCATTCTATTTACAGGGTGGACCTACAGGGTCTGGCCATAGCATTCAGCTTACTGCTTATAGGGAGATGACACAACCTGTTGGTGATGCTGTGTGCAACTGCATCTTTAGAAAAGTACTGGTTTGTGCACAGGAGCTGTCCTAGCATCCTCTCCTTTAGGAAAACAGAGCCAACCATTCCAAACCACTGAGGTGCGGAGCACAGGATCAGAGTGGAAGCAGTTAATTTGACACTAACATCACCAATAGATCTATTTGATTAAGAATGGAAACTGCAACCTAAACTCATTCCCCGAACTAAATCTCACTGATCTCAAAAGTGGGACTTTCTCTCTCCCCCCCGGGCTTCATCCCTAGCCCACACCGGAAGGCACACCAATAGTGTGTGGTGGTCTGCGGGAGCCGACACGGGGTCCTGGCAGCGCCCTTCCCACACCGCACAGGGAGCCTGCAGCCTCCAGCTGCCAGACACGCAGCCCTATAAAGGGTCAGCACGACCTCTAGAGCAACTCTTCTTATTCTAGAGCTTCCACAAGGCAAGCAAGTGAGAGGAACTGCGTTACCTGAGCCTGGACCAGGAGAGGCTTCAAACGCTCCAGGACCGCCTTCCCAACCTTGTCTGCTAACTGGGTGGCAGAAATGCTATTTAGAAATAAAATTGAAAATTAAAATCGAAAGCAAGAAATTGTCCTATTTTGCATATTTATTTACCACTCCAGGTGAAGGAAAATCAAACGATTATAAACCCACAGTGCTTCCCTAATTTTCATGGCCATACAAGTCCCCTGGGGATCTTGTTAAAATGCAGATTCTGATTCAGTTGGTCTAAGTGAGGCTTGAGATCCTGCATTTCCAACAGGCTCCCAGGTGATGCGAAACCTCTGGCTCTGGACCCCACTTGGAGGACTAGGCTTTAGATAACATCTGACGAAGTACGTTAGGGTCTCAGCATATTTGAAAAGAAAAATGGCTGCCTAAACAGGGTGGAAGACAAATGAAACTAATTTTGTTCCCTCCTCAAACCCCACAATAACATAGATATAAACCCACAAAAGAAAGAAAAAAAAATGGTGCTGGAAAACTGGACAAAATAACTAACTTAGCTGGCCTGAGAAAGCTGAATTCTTGGCCAGTAATGGGAAATACTGAGAACCCACACCATCTGCACTATTGACTTAAACAGGCACAAGAAAATGAAAATTAAAACCAAACAAGATACCAACACACTCTCACCAGAATGGCTCACATTAAAAAGACAGACAATACTAAATGTCAGTTAGGATGGGGAGCAACTATAAAGGAACTCCCATACTAACTAAAGATGGGAAACAGCCCACATGTTCATTCACAGAGAATGGATAAGTAGACTGTGGGGTATTCATACAATAGAATACTACTCAACAATAAAATGGAACAAACTATCCAGGGCAGTCCACTGTCTTCCTGACCAGGTTTCTTCCAGAACTCCAGTGTACCTGGCTCACTTCCAGGTGCCCCAAATGTGGTAAGGCCAATGTTTGCAAGGACCCACTCGTGACCTTGCCCATCAACTTCCTGGGGTGGGCGCCTAAAAACCCTCATGGAAGCTCACGTCAGATTCCGAGCCAGGCTCTGCTCAGCCTGCCTGGCCCTGGGGATCTCCCTCTAGGACCAGCAGCATTGCTCTTTCCTTGTTGAGCAAGGGTTGCGCTTGCCTCTCAGTTTTAGGTGATGGATTGATGAATAAGGGCAATGAAAAGACTCACAGGAATCAGGACCTTGTTAGCTCTGGTGAAGAAGAGGATGCCACTGAAGAGACACACACGGGGTTTTTAGAGTAGGGCTGATGCTCTGTTTCTTGGTCTGGGGTGGTGATCATATATGTAGCACGGGTGTTCATTTTGTAGTATTTTGGATTCTATGTGTGCATTCTTCTACATGTATGATTTTTTTAATAAAAAAGTACTCAAAGGGATACCTGGGGTACAGAGGATTACATTTTTTATATAGCCCAGAGGATGAATTAAAGTCACAGGGAATCCAATTCCAGCACAATCTAAGGTAGTCCCTTCTAATTGCTACAGATAACTGAGGAATGGGCTGCCCCAAATGGTGGCGGCCATCCCATCGCAGGGGCGGTGCATGAACATGCTGGACAGTTACTTCATGGAGATAGGCCAGAGGGGCTGGAAGCATCAGCTGCGGAAAAAGATCCTTCAAAACCTAAGATGCCGTGATTGTATAACTTGAAATGTTAACTATAGACAAAAACAAACAAAAATCTTGGCCCCCTAACAATAGAGCCACAGCCCTTCCAGTCTGGGAATGAATGCTCTATCCTGACTGGTGACAGAATGCACAGCTGTTGCAATGAGAATTCTGTTCATTTGACTTCAGGGTGAATTATTATCAGGGCTAGAAAAATGAGTCAATTGCAGGAGCTGCAGCATCAACTAATCTTCTCACAAACTCCTTCATGCTTAATAGTTAGGGTGTTAACTCTATTAGGGGGCACATGGAAAAAGGCAACCTATTCAAAAACCTTAGGCTACATTTAAGCTAAAAAGACATTTCTGTGCATTCCCTCACATGAGCAGACATGCACAATAACCTTCTACAGGGCCAAGAGAAAAGCACCTTTGAGCGCAACACAAACAGATATGAGACTCATCTTTTAGACAGAAGGCCCCCAAATTGTAGACGTTTCTTCTGTTATCATTCAAACTTCACACAAAAGAAGTACTTCCTAGCAGAAATACTGTATAAAACACATATAGGCATGCAGGTATTCATTCGTTCATTCCTTCATTCACTCACTCATCTATTCATTTAGTGAGATTAGGCCTAAAGAGCCCAGCTTAGCTGGTAAAACTCTCCAAACCAATTAGGATAGGCAAGCATTCACTATTCTTCCTCAGAACCAAACCCATACTTCAAGTTTTGAAGTCTATCCATTTCTTCAGTTTTGAGTTTATTCAATTCCTTTGTTCTTCTGGAAGTTTCAGCATCAAGCCAATCGAGCCTGGAGCACAGTACAAAACAGTCACCTTAACTCTCCTGAAAGCAGCCAGGACTCCCTTGGGCTCTAATCTTGGCTCCACTGTAGGCTTCTTAGGTGACTTCAAAGTCTGCTAAGCAGGCAGGCAGCCAATAAACTGTGTGACTACACCTCTAAACAATCTCAATTCGTTGTTAAAATAGCTGGATGATATAGAACAGGCCTGCTTTATCTTTCTCTACCTCAGAAACAGATCTTTACCTCTGGTTTTGCATTTTGTCCGTTTCTTCAGCTTTTAATTCGCCAAGTTCCTTCAATCTTTTGGAAGTTTCGGCATCAAGCCAAGCAAGTCTAGCAGACAATACAAACAGAGTCACACCAATTCTGCCTCGACCTGCAGGGCATCATGACCACAGAAAGAGAATAGTAGTCAGGATCCCCTGGAACACCAATCTTGGCTCCATGAAGGGCTCCAGAGGTAACGCAATCTCTCCGTTACCTGTAAAGTTCTCCATGGACCGTTCTGTGTAAAAAGACATTTCTGTGCAAAAGCACTCCTAGCTAGGGTGCAGGGCAACAAAAAACTGCCCACGAATATTCTCAAGAAAACTAGCCATCAGTGGACTTAGGATTTCTTGTTCGACTATAAAAAATAAAGCTGCTGCTGTGGCTACAAGTCTAGACAAAGAGATGGACTCCCAACAGAGCCATAAAGACACAGTGAAGTCAAATGAAAACAGAAAGGAAAAGCTAACTCTGAACAACTTTACTGCAGGTGGAAGGGCTTTGATTCTTTGAGTTTCGGATATGTGAATGTCATCGAATTACTTAATGGCCCATTTTCATTTTTGCTTTCCTGTAACTGCAAGAACAATTTCAGCCAAACAAATGCAGAAAGACCTGTTTTTGCTGCTGTCTACTCATGGAATGTTCTCACTTACCTCATCACCCCCTATTTCAGGCCTATTCTTTAAGTCCTAATTTATTTCTATCTCCCTCCATGAATCCTGGATCTCTGCAGCAAGAAGCATCCTGTTCCCGTTCTAAAATCTCTCAGTTCTTAACCCTTTCGTTTTAAGATACCATGTTCTATCTTAAATTACAGCTAATGACATATCCTCCCTACTGAGTGTAAACTCAGTAAACTCAGGGGCTGGGATTTTGTCTCTTTTGCCCTTTTTAGTAAAGTCTCTGTAGAGCTCACAACTGTACCATATACAAAACAAGCAACTGGTAGACCACTGACACACATAATTTTTGAAAAAATGAAATAAGAAGGAATAAAAGAGGGGTTCCTGTCTAAGCTTCATCATTGGACAGAAAAGGTTAGTAACTGACATTTTAATTCACCAACTTTACACATAGGGAAGAGAAGAAAGAGTTCACTTTAGAATCTACATGAAAGGGGCCCTTAAATTTTGGAAAACACCCGCACAAACCTAACTGCTTCTTGCTCAATGGCACCTCTTAATGGACTTTCCTCTTGAGGATTTTCTTGCTGGACAGACTGCTCTTTTGTGGCATGTTTGGGGCTAGATTTCGCCTTTAACCATGCAGCACTGCAAAAAACGGAAAAGTATACTTTTATAAAACCATTCGCTTCACACCCAATGACTCATTAGAAGGTGCCACCTCAGCAAAGACAAGAGCATTACGTGAATGCTGATCCCTAGCATGGTGCCCAAACGTGGGAACAAGTGTGAGGAAGGGTGAGCGCCTCCAGAATTCAGGCTCAGGGTTAAAGGGGAGAAGTTTACCTTTGCTTCATGGGAGCAATCACTATTAAAATGAAAAAATTAAAAAAATAAAACCTGTCAATTCTAGAATAATGGGTGAACTTCAATAAAACCCAGTTATAACATATGGATCTGGGTCACTAATTACATTCCATATTACAGGGCAATTCTGTACCTTTACAAGGCTTAATCCAGCACTGAGCTAGCAGCCTGGTCCTCTCCCCTCCCCCACCATACACTGTAGAAGACAGTCCATTGCATATTTTTAGCTTGCAATAGAAACTTCAACTGATTGATATGTTTATAAGCTTACCAACTGAATTCACATTTCTATACTAACACATAGATAAAAATACAGAATTTAGAGCAGATAGACGAAAAAGCACATTATGAAATCAGAAGACCTGGTATTAGTCCCAGCTCTGCTAGATAAGCAAGACATTAAATTCTCTAGACATGGTTTCTTCAACTGTAAAGCGAGGGTTGACAGATAAGTATAACCATTCATTCAGAATCATTCAGTCTTAAGGGGAATCTACTGGACCAGGCTTCTCATCCTGTCGTCTGCCAGGCTCCCAAAGGGCAGATCCCTTGAGTCATCTAACTTTTCACTCGTTTTTCTCCCCACATTACTGCTTTCTGTTGCCTTCCTTTTACTGTCCTACCTCCTGGTCCTTCCCACTGTGCTTTCAAGAACTACTGTCCTATGGTAAACAGGCTCCCCTTTATCTTTAACCAAGTCCCCAAAGACTATTTCCACGTAACGACCCCGCTGGCTGTGGAGGACCATACCTACTCTCTAGCTCCTCATTTTCCAGGTGCTATGAATGAGGGTGACATGGCAATGATGTGAGCATTATCCTAGCTGTCCCTTGCAGTCAGGAAAGTATCTATGAGGTATGTATGGTTTCATAATTCATAATTATCTTCACTTGGAATTAGAACTACTTTAAAGTATTTATTCATTCAGCAAAGATTTGCTGAATGCCCACTAAGATTTACTAAGTACCAGGCACTGTGCTAGGCATTAAACATTTAGCTATAGGGAAGGCACAGTTCCTGGCCTCGAGTAACTAGAATCTATTGGGTGAAGAGACAAGTGAAGGGAAGCCCGTGACCCTCCCTCCATACAACGACATACACAGATGTCCACAGGATGTTGGGGTGGCCTATGGGGTAGCCCATAGTCAGGTAGAAAAAGGGAACCAAGGGCTTTAAGACAAAAGTGTCCCATGTATTACTCACCCAAATAAGCTTTTCTTTTTAATGGGCACCACGGCTGTTGCTTTATTTGCTCTAAACAATAGATCACCTTGGACCTGTGGAGGGAAAATTAAATCACATACCCACATGGTCCCTTGAATTTGACATACCATTTAGGAGATGCTGGCGGGGACGTGGGGTTTGGAGGTATCCAAGGAGGCCTAGAGTCTTTCACAGGCTGTTGGCTCACTTTTAATCTGGATGAGACTGTTGTCCGTTCCAACCTGCTTTTGCTGTGAGATTGGGTTGATCTACTTTTTTCAGCTTTGTGGAATCCCTGTGAGAGAGAAATACGAATTATAAAGTCAAATGGACATCAAAGAAACTGGTTTTAGCCTCTGGCTCAGTGAAGCTTCAAGTGCCTCTATGCTATTAATGCATCCATCCATTCAGCAAAAACAAAACTGGAAAGCCCTGTGTTAGAAATTTGGAGGAGGGTGTAAATTATACTATCACAACCATGGTTGGGGCAGGGGAGGGGGGAGAGAAGGTATAAAATTGGAATTCCTAGCTTTGTCATCTTTTTATATAAAATATATTTATTTTTATATTTTTCCCTAAACAAACAAACAAAAAAAGAGATAAACTGTGAAACATTCTGGTTAGAAAGCTTTTAACCTCACTAAGCCTCAGGTTTCTCATCTGTAAAATGGGTTTCTAGAAGATGAAATTGTTTCTAGAAGGTTAAACAGGTTACTGTAGGAAGAGTATGATGATAAAGGAGAAAGGCACACGCCATCTAAACTGGATGAGTCAGGCTACTTCAAAACGCTACAGAGAACCAAGCTGTCCCTGGAGAAGAGCACCAAGCTGAGTGCACACCTGACTTCCCAATGACCCACCCCCACGTCCCCCTAAGAGTCTGTTTGGAAAGGAATAAAGACTTGATCCAAATCCATGATCTACCAGTAACTGGTGGTAACTGCTAAATATCCTTTTTCTGGGGTCACTTGATAATATATCAGTTTGCTAGAGAATCCTCGGGACAGCACTATCAAATGGCAGTAACCACATTATTAAGGATATTTCGACTAGGAGGTTGTCTTCCGGCCAGTTCTCCACTGGTAGGGCCTTAAGTTAAATTTTAAATAGAAGCTTAAAATATAATATAGTTTCAAGCCAGCTGGCTCCCAAAGCCATAGTAGAAAGTACTCACCCTAGGATGCCTTCTAATATCGAGTGGTTATTATTTATCAATATTTATCTTTAGCAGGTACCAAATCTTAACCCCTTTAAATTTCACAATTCCAAATCAGAAGCAGGAAAAAACAATTTTAAAATAGCCTGCCCAATTAGGACCTTGGTATCAAATTATTTAGGATCTTACCAAGTCAGAGCAGAGAACACCCTGTTCTAGCAACAACATTAAAAATTGTTATTTTTTGTTAAAAAAATAAAAACAACCAAGAGCTAAGCTAAGTCAGCTGAATTTAGATAGTTGGACTTAAGGGCTCTGGCAGTCAGATGCCTGAGAACTCAAATCCTGGCTCCGCCTCTTACTAGCCTATGTGAACTTGGACAGTGTCAGGTTAATACGAATGGGCCAAAAGGAAGAAGTGTTTTCATACTTGCTGTAGTCTTGCCGACGGCAGAGTATCTTTCTTCCGAAATGGCACGTGCTCAGCCACAGGCTTCTTTCCCACTGTATTTGTTTCAGTCTGGGCGAATGCCTCTTCTTGGAAGCTTGCATTTTGGTCTCCAATAGAGGGAGCGTCTTCTGGAAGCATATCCACATCTAAAACATCAAAGTCGTTCTCCAACCTCTTGGTCACTGGAAGCTCTTTATCAGGTTGATAATTATCTATGTGGAGATTTCAGAAGGGCAGACTGAGGGAAATGTATTTAAATCAAGTCGGGGGAGAATGATTATCTACAGACAGATAAGCTTCAAGTATCTATCCCAGACCTGTTAAGAACGGAGGTGTTTTGTTGCTAAAGCCTATGACTGCTACACTTCTACAGGCAGAAATCGAAGCGTCACCCCCCACATTTACTCATTCACCTGGTCCCTTTGACCCCAATTCTAAAGTTGCTCCTGTGCTTATCTCTCGCCTTCTTTCCTTTCTGCCACCACCCAAGGTCAGGCTTGCAATATCTTGTGACTCTAATAATAGCACCTCCTAACTGACCCCTTCTTTATCATCATCACACCTTCACCTGGCTACCAAAATTGTTTTCTAAAATGGAAATATTTAAATGTCGCTTCTCTCTCGAAAACTTTGATGGCTCCTAATTTGATACAGAATAACGTGTGAACTCCATACGTGACATTCAGCTAGCAATGGGAAGGGGAATAAAACTGTCCTTATTTGAAGATGAGATAATGCTTTTTATATAGAAAATCCAAAAGAATCTACGATAAACAATTACAACTAAGAGGAGAGTCCAGCAATGTTTCTGGATAAAAGAAAAACATACAAGAATCAGTATCATTCCCACTTATCAAAATAACTAATCAGAGAAAATGTTAGAGAAAAAAAATTACCCATTAACATTGGCAACAAGAACTATAAGGCACTTAGGAAGAAATCTAACAAAAGATACACAAGGCTTTTACATAAAAATTCAAAGGTCTTTTTAAAGGACATGAAAGAAGATTAAAAGAATAAATTATTTTCCTGAATGAAGCTGTAAAGATGTCAGTTTCCCCCCAAAGTGATCTCAAATGCAAATTCAATAAAAATCCCAACTTTTTTTTGTGGCTCTAAACAGGCTGATCCTAAAATTCTTATGAAGAGTAAAATCCTAAGATAGCCCAAATAATTGTGAAAAACAACAAAGTGGGGAGTGGGACGGGGGTGGGAGTCTCATTCCACCAGAGATACAGTGCTCGTGATAAAGCTGTAAGAATTAAGGCAGTGTGGGAGTGAAGAAGCAGCAACAGGCAGAGACCAATGAAGCAAAACGGGTATGACAAGGGCAGCATGACACAGCGTGAGTGTGAACCGGCTTGTCCAATAGCTGAGACTATTCCTGTCTACAAGTAACAAAATAAAACAGGATCCTTGCCTCACACTGAACACTTAAATTCTAAATGGAACAAAGACCTGAATATGAAAGGAAGACTTCAAAGCTTTTAGAAGAAAGTATAAGAAAAATATGATGACAACATCAGGGCAGAAAAGGCTTTCTTAAACTGAAATATAATAGTAATATATTTAAATTTAATTACACTAAGCTACAACTTCCTTTTGACAAAAACACACCAACAAGGGGCCAGCAGAGTGGCACGTTGGTTAAGAGCTGGCTTGGGATGCCAGCTCTGAGCAGCAGGGCCCCGGTTTGGATCCCACATGAGGGCCACTGACGCTGCACCCTCTACAGCTCGACCTGGAGCTGGGCTGCCGTGAGTCGCCGGCGACGGCGTAGGCTGCAGTAAGGCTGCAGTAGGCTTCTATAAGCTACCATGTGTGGCCGTCCAGAGGCTGGCAACCGATCTGCCTCACCCGGGAAGAGCTCAATGATAATACCAACATGGGCCAGTGAAGCGACGTCCTCCACAACTAGACTGAAGAACAAAAGGACAGCAACTTGTCTGTTCCCCTTCCCCGATTCCCCAATAAAATCTTAAAAAAAAAAAAAAGACACCATCAAGTCAACAGACAAGCCAGAGTCTGCAAGTAGATATCTGCAATGCACAATTAACATAGGTTCAACATCCAGAATCTATCTACAAATCTGTCAAGAAAAATAAACAATCCAATAGAGAAAGAAGCAAAGGATAGAAACTAGCAATTTAGACAGAAAAACTGAACTGTCAATAAAGACATGAAAAGCTGATCACCAGTCATCAGAAAAATCCAAATTAAAACAGTGAGGTACAATTTAACATCCACCAGATTGGGGGAGAATTTTTAATGTGAAATACCAAGTATAAACAAGGATGTGGAAAAACAAGTGCTCTCACAAGCGCCTCGTGCAGCAGTGAACTGGTCCAAGCCAGTTGGGAAAGCAAGTCGATTGTTCTAGAAAAGCTGAAGATTTGCTCACATTGCAGCCCACAAGCTTCACATCTAGGTACAGACTCAGCCTAGAGGAAGTCTCATATGTGTACACCAGAAGACATGAGCAAGGATATACAGAGGGTGCCAAAAAATGCATGCTCATTTTAAGAAAGAAAAACTGTATTAAAATTGTAATATTCAATATATACTGATAACAAAAGATGAATACAAGTCATGTTTGACTTGTGCAATAACAAGAGGTGCTCCAAGTGGTTACCATCAGTGTCCAGACACTTCTGATTACGGTGAACTACTGCTTGAGCAACGTTGACTAAAGTGTCCACTTGTATACATTTTTTGGCACCCCTGGTATAAATACTTGATCACTGTTTATAAAAGCAAAAAACTGGAAACAGCCCAAATGTCCATCGGTTCAGAGCTAAAAATAAACTATGGTATCTCCATACGAGGGAAACCATTACAACAGCTAGATAAATAAATTAGAATTCATGTATCAATATGAACAAGGCTTATACACATAGGTGGGGAGGCAAACTGTAGAATGATGCTTACTATAAGATATTATTTACATGAGACATACAGCATATGAGACAATACAGGTATTGCTTACGGATAGATACATAAGCAGTACAAGTATAAAAACGGAACAGGTCCATGTTATAATAATAAGAGTAACCTCCAGTGAGGAATGGAGGGGAATAGAATGGGGAGAGAAATACAAAAGAAACTTCAGCTATGCCTGTCATATTTTATTTATAAAAAAAAAAATCTGTTAAATCTTGGTAGTGGATACATAGGTGTTTACCATTTTCTTTTTTTTTTTTTCCGTATGGTTTAAATGGTCCATAATGGAAGAAAAACTATATTTGGACTGCTCTCAGAACAGCACGTCAAGGGCCAGATACAGATCCCCTGAAAAACGTCTTTCATCTGGTACTTTTCAAGGCCATGGAAGTTACACAGCAAGGAAATATAAACTGAAGGCAAGAACGCTATGATTAAATCCTCGATCTATAATTTATTTAACCCCCAAGTTTACATATTGCAAGACAACTCTGACCTCTAGGTCCTGATGCCATTTCAGTTACGATTCGCATAAATCAACATGTAAATGCAGAGCAAGTTCCAGGGACTTTGCTGGTGGAAGGGAGGGAGCCACCATCCTTACATCTGACAAGTTACACTAATGCAGTCAACCACTGTGAGAACATTTCAGAACCTCACCAGCCAATAATTACATCAGTCACAAGGTCTAAGTAGGCTCACGCATACATTCCAACTGAAAGGGCAGAGGGACAGTTTTTCACCCATGTAGCTGCCTGTGACTTTATGAGGCTGAGGGGCAGGGAAGAGGAGACCTTAGGAAGTCAGAACGGACGAATTACGTAGAGTGATATCTAAAACAGAAACAGAAAATGTAACCGTCTCAAATTGAGATCATAAGGGCAAGAATTAAAACAAATAAAATAAATAAAAATAAGAGGGCTAGCTCTCTCCACCCACTGTCCAAGATGCGGACAGGGAAGGAGGCTAAAGGGAAGAACATGGCGTCAGCCCCTGTTGTCGTGAAGCAGCAGGAGGCCACGAAGGTGGTAAATCAGACAGGACATCAAGCCCAAAAGGGACCTCATGCACTTTGTCAAATGGCCCCGGTACATTCGGCTGCCGCGGCAAAGAGCTACTCTCTCTGTGTCAGCGCCCAAAAGTGCCTCCTGTCATTAAGCAGCTCACCCAGGCCTTGGACCACCATATTGCTACTCAACTGCTTAAGCTGGCTCACAACTACAGCCCAGAGACAAAGCAAGAGAAGTAGCAGAGACTGTTGGGTGGGGCTGAGACAAAAGCTGTTGGCAAAGGGGATGTCCCCACCCAGAGGCCTCCTGTTTCCTGAGCAGGGGTTAATACTGTCACCACTTCGGTGGAGAACAAGAAGGCTCAGCTGGTGGTGACTCCACATGACAGGGATCCCATCAAGCCAGCTGTCTTCATGTCACATCATCCCCATGAGCCAATGTATTAAATTTGCAAAGAGGCTAAAGCCCCAATTTGTAATTCGGATTACAACAATGATTATTATCTCTCACATCCGCACAACACTTTTTCAGTTTATCACATAATTCACACTCACATCTGAGCCTTACCAGAGCAGGCAGGACAATGATCAGTACAATTCTTCAGATGAAGAAATAACAGTGACATGTTTTACGCAAGGTCACAAAGAGGGTGAGCGACAGAGCCACACCTTCTGACTCTGGTCCAGGGCTGGGACCCTTTATCCTGCCCTGTCAGGGAGCACGGAGCTGTTCCACATAAACACATTTTCCAGATAAGTGAAACTTACTTCTTTTTTTTTTTCCTTAAAGATTTTTTTTTGTATTGGGGAATTGGGGGGGATGGGAACAGTGCTGGGGAATTGGGGGAAGGGGAACAGACAAGTTGCTGTCGTTTTGTTCTTCAGTCTAGTTGTGGAGGACGTTGCTTCACTGGCCCAAGCTGGCACCATCATTGCGCTCTTCCCGGGTGAGGCAGATCAGTCGCCGGCTTCTGGACGGCCGCTCACTGTGGCTGCTGGCCGCTCACGCTGGCTGCTGGCTACATACGGTGGCCATGGCAACCCACTGCCACAGGGGCTGCAGCCTACGCCTGCCAGTGACTCACAGCAGCCCAGCTCCAGGTTGAGCTGTTGTTCAGCATCTTAGCTGTGGAGGGCAGTGTCACTGGCCCTCATATGTGGGATCCGAACCGGGGCCCTCTGGCGTCCCAAGCCAGTTCTTAACCATTGCGCCACTCGGCCGGCCCACACCTTTCATTTTTATAGCATTTAGTAATTATGCAATTTGCTACTTACAACAACAAAGTCAGTCCACACAGGTTAAGGACTATAATCCCCATTCAAAAGATGAAAAAAATCGAGGTTCTGAGAGATTAAGTCATCAACCCAGGTCACAAGTTGGCAGAGCTGAGACTAGAGAGGTCTTTTTGGTCCATGTTTTCCCCATGGTGGTCTCTGTCTTCCCGCTTTCCCATTTGTTCCTAAGGTGAGTTTTAGATTAGCAGGTTTTCCAACTTCTCTCTCTGAAGCTGGTCCTCATTTTTCACTAATCAGTTACGGGCACATCTAATCTCCTAACTCATTTAGGAAAGAGGTCTTTGTGTGCAGGCCTGGAAAGTCCTCACATTTCATCCAGAGTATCATAAGTGAGTCCCCAACACCCAGAACTCAAGCTAATGTGATTTGCTGCTCAGAAGCCTTTTCTTATTTAATTACACCTCTTCATAGAATCTCTCACTTAAGTGCCTAACTATGTGCCAGAAACTGGGCTGGTCACAGACGACATAACAGCAAGTAGACATGATGCTTGTCCTAAAGGGAAAGGCTGGCAAAGGCAGACACTGTATTAGTTCTAACTGCCCACCAATGAAGACACGAGAGTATCACATTATAGTGAATAAATATCTTCTAGTAATCCAGGAAAGTAAGTTTTGTTACGTTCATGTCAGAGGTGCTGCATTAAGCTATTAAGGCTGCACAGATTAGTGGCAGATTGAGAAATAAATCAAATGAAAACCAGGCTGATATATAAGTTTCAAATAAAAAATGAAACAAGAAACCTTCATTAATATAGTAAATCACAACAAAGGAGAAAAAACTTGGCAAATGAAAAACATACAATAAGGTAGGAAAGAAGTTCACATGTATCCTTAATCTCAGCCAACACAGGGTAAATATAGAACTCTACAACAGGGTAAAGGCTTCAACAACAAACTATTTAAGACTTTCTTAAAATAAAACAGTGAAGGAAGACTGAACATAAAGGAATGGAAAATGTTATTCTAAGTAAATGCCAAACAAGTTAGGTAGATGAAGCAATACTAATACCAAACAAAACATAATTCAAGTGAGTAACATTTAAAAAGGCAAAGAAATATTTAATAATAATAACATAAAATCCACCAAAAACATTTAATAGCCAGGAACTCTTATGCATCTAACAGCACAATTCCAAAATATACAAAACAAAAAGTGAGAAATGAATGAAGTCTCAGGTATCATAAAAGACTTTAACATACCTTTATATCAGTTATATACAGATCAAGTAAATCAAACCAGAGAACTATAGAAGAAAAAGAAATAAAGATTGGAGAGGAGAAAAATCAACCAATGATTATTTATAGGTGATATGATTATATACATAGCAAACCACAAATAATCTACAGATAAATTATTAGAAATAAATTAGCTTACCAAGGTTGCTAGGTATAAGGCCAATATATAAAATCAACTGTAGGGCCGGCTGAGCAGCACGATGGTTAAGAGCTGGCTTGGGACGCCAGAGGGCCCCGGTTCGGATACAAATGAGGACACATATGAGGGCCAGTGACACTGCCCTCCACAGCTAAGATGCTGAAAAACAGCTCAACCTGGAGCTGGGCTGCCATGAGTCGCCGGCGATGGCAGGTGGGTTGCCATGGGCTACCGTGTGTAGCCAGCAGCCAGCATGAGTGGCCAGCAGCTGCAGTGAGTAGCCATCCAGACGCCGGAGACTGATCTGCCTCACCCGGGAAGAGCACAATGATGGTGTCAACTTGGGCCAGTGAAGCAACATCCTCTGCAATTAGACTGAAGAACAAAAGGACAGCAACTTGTCTGTTCCCCTTCTCCCAATTCCCCAATAAAAACCTTTAAAAAAATTTTAAATAAATAAAATAAAAAACTAGTAAGTGTTGACAAGGATGTGTAGCAACTGTAAAATGATAAAACTACTTTTAAAAATCTAGGGCCAGCCGAGTGGCTCATTTGGTTGAGAGTTAGTTTAGGAGCGCTAGCTCTGGGCAGCGGGGCGACCGGTTTGATTCCCACATGGGCCAGTGACTGCGCCCGAGCTGAGCTGCCGTTGAGCTGCCAACAGGTGGCAGGATGGCTCAGCTGATGAGAGCACGTGCTACTAACAAGACTGCCTGTTCGATGGTGGGCTACGCCTTCACACCACTAACACTGAACTTGGCACCTTGAGCTGAGCTGCCACCCGAATGGCTCAGTGAATAGAGCAAGCGCTCTTAACAAGTCTGCTGGGTTCGACTCCCGCATGGGATGGTGGCTACGCCCACCCGCAGCTAGGATTGTAACACAACACCTTGAGCTTGGAAGCCACGAGCTGCCAATGGGCAGCCAGATGCTGACTGGCGCCCTCCACAACTGGGATTGGGGAATGGCAGCTTGGCTGGCCCCTCTCCCTAGTTCCCCAACGCTGTTACCCTCCCGCAATTCCCCAATTAAAAAAAAATAAAATCTTTACCTACTACAGTTGAACAAACACATACCCTGTGACGTACCAATTATACTCCTGGGAATATACCCAAGAGAAACACATGTACACATGTACCAAAAGACATATATGAGAACAATCATAGCTTTTCTTCGTAATTGCCCAAATATGGAAAAAACTCAATAATTAAAACAACAGAATAAATTGTGATATATTCTATAAAGGAACACAGTAATGAACATAAACTAATCACAGCTACACAAACAAAACAGATGAATCTGACAAAACATTAAGTGAAAGAAGCCAGTCCCAAGAAAATACCTAATGATATAGTAGTTCTATTTTTATAAAGTTCCAAATCAGGCAAAACCAAAGTATGGCATTAAAAATCAGGGTAATGGATAATTTGGGGGAGGAGGTAGGGAATAGAGACTGAAAAAGGAGGGTACAAGAGTGTTTCTTAGCAGTCATAATGTTCTATTTCTTGAATTGGGCAGTGATTGCACAGATATTTGTTTTCTGATAATTAAATGAACTGTAAGTTTATATTGTGTAAGCTTTTCTATGTATATTCTACTGGTTTACTAGATTAAGCCACACTCTGGTATAAATAGCACATTAAAAAATTCAGTATTAAAAATTTTAAACTATTTTAAAACACTATCAACACATACACCTCTGTCAGTTTAACTGAGAAAAAGAAAAAAGGAGAGGAAAAGACAATCTCTTAGCAAAACAGGAACAGAAGAAAATTTTCTTAACTTCACATGCAAATCTGCCAAAACCAACAGTAAGTGTCATATAAGGAGAAGCAGTTCCATTAAATCTGGGAAGGAAATGATGTCCACCATTGTAACTTATTCAGTATTATTAATTATTATTTATTATTATTAATAATTATTCAGTATTATTCTGAATTAAAACCCATTCAATAAAACAGAAAAAGAGAAAAAGTATAAAAATTACAAATAGGCAAAATTTGACTTATTTGCAAGTAATCTCATCTATCTGGAAAAATACAAAAGAATTAACTAACAAAATTTCATATTTCATCAACTCCAAAACATCAAGTATAAGACATTATTTTATGCATGAATAGAAAAATTTTTAAGTATTGCCAATTAATTGTAAGACAGCATCAATTTAAGAATATATCCCAATTTCAGAAATGTTCAAATGTATACTTTATCATAACAAATTAAAGACTTCAGCAAGGTGCCAGATATAAGAGCAAATGCAAATCCAACAGCTCTCCTATAAGTAGCAATAACCAATTTCAAAATGTAATAAAAAGATGACCCCACTCACAATATCAACAAAAACCATAATATATAAATACGGGAAATAAACCTAACAAGAAATTTAGGAATTCCTATGTATTCCTATGTCAGGAATTCTTATATGCAGAAAACTATAAAATTTTACTAAAGGGATGGAAAAAGGATAAATTGATGAGACAACTTCGTATTGTAAAGATGTCATTTCTCCCCTAATTAATCTATGAACTCACTGTAATACCAATCAAAATCCAGACATCATTTTTCATGGAACTTGAAAAACCCATTTTAAATTCCTCTGACGATAAGCAATCACCAGCAGCAAAATTTTGAAAAAGAAGAACAAAGAGGGAAGAACCGCTTCACGCAATATTAAAATATGTAAGAAAGAATGATGATTTTGCCTACAAAATTAAGTTTGTATACCAGAAAAGATATCATAAACAAATTTCAAAAGTGACTAAGAGAATATCTGCAATATATGTAAGCAAAAAAGGATTAAGATCCAGAATATGTAAAAAAAACTTCTATGCATCCACATAAGCAAAAGACGTAACCCAGCAGGGATTGGGCAAAGGCTATAAAGAGACAAATCGCAGAAGAGGAAACATAGCTAAGGAGCACATAAAAGGAACAACATCTCCTCACTAGAAATCAGAGGACTGGAGTACAAAACTGTAAGATACCATTTTCCACTGAGAGACTGGAAACATTTTTTAATTTCATTATATAAAGCAGTTGGCAAGGATCTGGGGAAATATACACGGATGGTCACTGCTAGTCAAAACATAATTGTATGCCCCTTTTCAAGGATAAGTCAACAGTATCTGTTTAAATGTGCGCACCACATAAGCTAGCAATTCCACTTCTTAAAATAACAAAAATTTATTACCTATGTGAAAAAACACATACATATCAAATGTGTGTGTATATGCATGTATCATTGAAATGAAAATAAACTTAGAAAAGTGGGGGGCTCTAATTTCCAGCTCTGTAGGAACTTCCTTTGGGTAGCCCAAATGCTATGATGTCGGAAAAGGGAATTTACTTTTTCACCCTCCACTATGGAAAAATAAGCACTCCAGCCTCCAGCCTGAGGAAGCATCTTGGTGGCAATTCACTTATCCTAGCTCAAGGACACCTGTTGTGGACTAGGTTTTAAACCCTTACTTTCTCCTCAATGTTGCAACTTTTATAGAGATAATTCCAAAGAATGAAATATCTTGCAAGAAACACTTTAAGACACATACCAGCAAGGAGCCTCTTTGCCACAGAAGGTCGTCTTGTTTCCCGTGGAAGTATCTCCTTTACTACGGGGGGTCTCCTCTCGCTCTTTGGCGGTGTGCTTCGCTGTCTCTCTGGGGCCCTTTGATGACCAACGAGAAATCTGCTCTGGATTTCAGTGAAACACTTCTTCACCTTTTTTGGTGACAGTTTCTTTTCCAGGAGGGATTCAAAAGCCTGCCATGAAACAGTTATTCTCATAGTTTATCTCTTAGTGATGAAAAAGTCTGACTTTTAATCACAAAGCTGAAAATGAGGACTCCAGAGAAATGCGTTATTAAACGGCTATCTCTAATGGTTAATGACATGTTGTTTAACTTAATTTTAAAACTTTACTATTTAGGATATCTAATTAATTAATAAAAGGAATTCTGCATGCTCTTTTACACGTTTAGCTCACTAAAACCAACAGCAAAAAGAGAAAGAATATGACTACTTTTAAAGGCATCCAAATCCTAAAATTAAGGATCACCATTTTAGGAACTAACCATAGTCTTCAGAATATAATTCTATATGCTTTAAAAGCATTTTAATTCTCAACGAAAACTCATAAACTCACACACTACTGTTAAGTGGGCAGACTACATTTAATATACATTTTCACAAACTAAAGGAACTTTGCATGTCCAGTGGCTTTGGTCACTCCTGTACCACAACGGTAGGTGATCTGTGTCCCCCTTTCTAAAAGAGGAATGTCCTCTAATAAATACCTAGTCACTCATTACCAGGCTGCAAGGGCCTAGTCTCCATCTGGTCAGTACAAATTAAGGACAAGGGAACACTGCCAGGGAGATTTAGTTCAGATGACAGTAAGGCAATGAGAAAATAATAACTTAAGAGATGGTGCAGTACAAGAAGAAGAAAGAATACATTTTTTGCACTACTGAATATTTTCAAAAGTAGGAGAGATAAACATTATGTTTAAGAAAGATTATGTTAAGGTACTCTTGCTCAAAATTTGGGAAAGGATAGAAATCTCTTCAGATCCTTTCTAGGATTATGAAGCTATGCCCTCTAAATGAAATCATTTTGGCCAATAAATTTTCTTATGGATAAGTTTAAAAAGCATCACATGACTTGATACACTATCTAAAGGTCTGCATTTGACAATAACATTCCTGAGAGTGAGTTCTATAAACACGAATGTAACCAATGCAATCACCAACATATGTGCTGGATAAGGGAACTGTAAAGGTAGAAGGGGCCTTACAGACCACTAAGGGCTAGCTAATGGTACAGTGATATGTCAGTCAGTCCACAATTCTCCCCACTGTAGCACCTTCCCTCTACCGCTAACAGGTGACTACGTCACACTAACATAAAGGTTATGTCTTTTTATTGGTGGATGACAATGTGTAGTGTAGTGGAAATAATAGTGGCATGAGAGTCAGAAGATAGGAATTAAATTCCCAGCTCTGAAGAGAAGTAGTTGTATCATCTCTCTGATCTTTGCCTTCTAAAATTTTATCTGTAAAACAGTGGTAATAAAACCTACTGCAAATCACAGCACTGTAGTAAAGATGAAATGGGCAAATGTGGTAGCCCTCTGCAAACTTCAGAGGACTATAAAGATTATAAGGCCTATTCTTTCTGTTGCCTTTGTCACCAATAAGAACTAAGAACACTATTTATTCCTGACCAGTCCATGCCAGTTGTGATTTCCAGAAGTCTCTGTCATATCACAAGACTTGAGGTTCTGCTTCCATATATCTTTTTTTTTTTTTTTTAGTTTCAGGTGTCCATATATCTTTAAGTGTCTCTTCTTTTCAAAAATCTATCGAGGGTACACAGATATTCTAATCAAAGCACTAATCTAAGAGTGCTTTACTGTTTTCCTTTCCTAGGCTAATAAATTCTTTATTAAATGGCACAGTCAGGCAATGGACAATTGTATTCAATTAATGGAACTGGTTAAGGGTTATTGTATGTTTTTGACTCAAGCCACCAATTCCCAAAGAAGTGAAATACAATATTATAGACTAGACTGTAAAAACAACAAAATAAAAATGAAGTGCTTCTTTTGCCTTTGGCAAAGCTTTAATTTACTAGGTGTAGCAGCTTTGTCTTGTATTCTCCATAAATCCCAATGAAACTTGTAGATGATAAACATTACTTCCCTGCTTAGAAACAACAGACTTCTAACAAAAATTAGAGTCAATTTCATACCTCAATTTGTTGCAGGATATCTATAACCACATCAGGGACGGAAGAATCAGCACTCAGCTTGGCAGAACAGAGTGACAGCTGGCGAATAAGACTGCCCAGTTCTCTATACCGAGTAGAAACTGGCTGCTCCCCTTGGTCAGTAAACTGAGTGACAAACATCTGTAAGGCCCGAATGGCTCCTCGATGGGCAGCTGCCAGCCTGGATGTTGCCCATGACTGGCAATAAATGAAATGTGAGAAGTTATTTCAATATTCGGTACTTCTTGACCTTAACCCAACCCTTAAGACTATCTACAGGAGGCAGCCATCTTGCTCTTGGCGCATGCTGGTGTTGAAGGACCCTTTCTGCTTCAGATTTACCAACAGTAGGAATCAAGAAAAGTTAGCCAAACTTCAGGCTCAGGTCCAGATAGGCAAGGGTACAGCTCACAGAAAGAGGGTGATACATAGAACAGCTACAGCTGATGACAAAAAAACTTCAGAGTTTTCTAAAAAAACTGGCTGTGAATAATACAGCTGGTATTGAAGAGGTAAACATGGTTAAAGATGATGGGACCGTTATTCATTTCAACAATCCCGAAGTCCAAGCTTCCCTTTCTGCTATCACCTTTGCAATTACTGGTCACGCAGAAGCCAAACCAATCACAGAGATGCTTCCTGGAATATTAAGTCAACTTGGTGCTGACAACTTAACAAGTCCTAGGAAGTTAGCTGAATAGCCCCTTGGCAAGTGTCGGACAGCAAAGCACCAAAACCAGAAGATATTGACCAGGAGGAGGAGGAGGACATTCCAGATCTCACAGAAAATTTTGATGAGGCATCAAAAAATGAAGCAACTAAAATCTCTTCTGGTTTTTGGAAGCTGGCATGGACTAGATTTAACCGATCAGCTATGTGGTTCTAAAGTTTTACAGACATGGAGAACATCGACTGTTACTAGTTTAGTGATATAAATATTTTGTATATTTATAATGCTGTTTATTCAGCATTTCTTGGTCATTTGATTTTGCATTTTGCACTTCTTCCCAGGATCTATTCTTTTGGTCAAAATATGAAATATTGGTGCAGTTTGAGAGTGTTTTGAATTTTGATTCTTGGCTTTTTGTTTCTTTTTTTTGTTTGGGGTATTTTTGGTGTGTGTATGTGTGTATACAGTGTAGAGCAAACTGGAAAACAGTTCTATTTATCCTCCTCCTTCCCCCAACAGAAATAAAACATATCTTTACATTTGGGGAAAAAAAAGGATATTTACAGTCTATTTTCTTTCTATATTGAACTATTTCCGTTGTGAAAATGTTTTCATAGTAAAGGGAATTGTGAAGTTTAAAGGTTTTCTAATGACAAAGTATTTTCCTTCCTATCCTGTTTCTTACACCAGCAGCATGAAAATCTACTTTCAGAACCTGTTCCTTGGAAGGTGACCCCAAATTCAGAATCCTTAAGGTGCTCACGCACGCCCTCACTAATAGTTTTCTATAAGCACTTAAGATAGTATTTGCGCAGAGAACACACACACAATACTAACAAAACTTTGGAAATCTAATTTATGAATAATATTAGTTGTAATTAAATTGCATCATACCTTCTTAGTGTGTTTAATTTTATGTGGACTAAATTTATCCAATTCTTCCTGGATTTCTTTAACCTGTTTTGTAAAGGGGAAAAAAACCAAAAACTTCATACCTTTCCACTGATCTTTTTCCACTTATCCTTTGAATAAAGCTTGTCTTGAACAAATATAACCATTATCAATTCGAATCACTTGAAAATGAGACAAGGCTCTTCATTTATGCACTCAAAAAAATAGTTCCTGGTTTCCAACTGGAGATGGTGAATAGAGGATGGTGCTCACCTTCCACCCCTTGGTCCCCAATGTAACAGGAATTTAACATGAAGGCGTGAAGGTGGAGGTGACTCTGGGAAGGCAGGAGGGCCCGGTCATGAAGTCTGAAGTGCCATGCTAAAGGGTTTAGCTTTCAGCCTCTATGTTACGGAGAAGCGCTTCACTGACGTCTTTTAAGCAGAGGTCTGACATGGTAAGATTCGTGTTTTACAACAGTCTCTATGGTAGCAATGCAGCGTAAGGACTGAAATAGAACCCACCACACGCCCTCCAAAAAAAAAAAAAATGGAACAAAATCTAATGCAGGCATTTTCTTTTCCATGTAAAGGTCCAGTTTGGGTTTTAAGCAATAAGGCCAACGTGTGACTTAAGTAACCAGAAATGAGTCAAAGACTTACTAACGAGTAAGGCATTCAAGTTAAAACAACAGCAAGAAAGACTTTATTCAAGACCACAGTAATAGCGGGGAGAGACTGAACTTAACTTCAAGTTAAAACATTTATAAAAAATCTACTCATAATGTAAACAATGTTTACATTGTTTATCAGCCACTAAATGTGTCCTGAAAGACACTTACTATGGTCCTCATTCTTTACTATTTAATAAAGATAAGCAAATTACTTACCATTACTAAGCTTCTAGTACATTATAAAGGTGAGACAGATGGGAAAACTAGCAAGGTCCCTTTCTTCTAAGACTAAGGTTCATAACTGGGGACCAAGGGTTTTAGGGTAACTGATCCCTTTGACTTCATCTGAAAAAATATGTGCTGTATAGGCATTTTTTCTAGGGAAAGGACCCATGGCTTTTAGCAGATTCTCAAGAGTCTCTGACACCAGAAAGTCAAAAACCACTATTTAAGGAGTTTGGGCATATATACATAACACACACACACACACACACACACACACACACAAAGGCAGACGACAAAAAGAAAAAGAATATTTGTCCACGTGCTCAGGAAATTTACTCTCACAAACGCATTAGAATTCATAGGGGATATTCTGGTGCTAATAATGAGACAAAAGGAAAACTGAACCTCTCTGAGGATGTAACACCCAAGGCTCTTCCCTGCTTCCCGTACCTGCTGCTGGAGGACATAGAGCGTTCGGGCAGAACGGACAGCTTGCTCCTGCCTCCTGACACGGGCGCGCCGCTCCTCGTCCGGATCCAAGGCTTCTTGCATTCGATCTGAAAATATTTTCCCCAAAAAAGTGGATTATAAACCAAATATAAAAACTTAGAAACAATTCCATTACTCAAAGAGATAATAAAGTTGAAGATCTCTATTTTAGTAAGAAAAAAAATGAGGCTGTCTTAACAACAAATGTCATCTTTCATCAGCCAAGAAATCAAGGAATGAGTGTGGTGCTGTGTACCGACTCAGAGATGGAAGGGACATGAAGACATTAACTTGGTCAAGCTCCCCTCCATGTAAGAATTCCCTGAATCAAACCCCACTGGACAGCCTAGTCCACTAAGAGGCACCTCTTGCTATTTTAAAATTCTTTACGAGATCTGACAATTAAGTTCACAAACTCATCCTAGAAAAAGTGCTACACACCTCATTGTTGAATATCACTATGGTCACCTTCGAAGTACTCCCCTTGGGAAGCTATGCACCAACGCCAGTGCCTAGTCCACCCTTCAAAGCAATTTTGGAACTCTTTTTCTGGAATGGCCATCAGAGCTGTCCTTGTATTACCCTTGATGTCCTGAATGTCATCAAAACATCTTCCTTTCAATATTTCTTTATCTTCGGGTAAAGAAAGAAGTCATTGGGGGCCAGATCAGGTGAGTAGGGAGGGTGTTCCAATGCAGTTATTTGTTTACTGGCTAAAAACTCCCTCACAGACAGTGCTGTGTGAGCTGGTGCACTGTCGTGATGCAAGAGTCATGAATTGTTGGTGAAAAGTTCAGGTCATCTAACTTTTTCACGCAGCCTTTTCAGTACTTCCAAATAGTAAACTTGGTTAACTGTTTGTCCAGCTGGTACAAATTCATAATAAATAATCCCTCTGATATCAAAAAAGGTTAGCAACATCGTTGCAACAAGTTTGCGAACTTAATTGTCATACCTTCGTACATTGAGCCAAAACTTGTCATGCTTTCTGTTTTCCAAAACCCTTTATTGTCCTATTTTTTTGTTTAGCAAGATTTCTTTTACTCTTTGTTATCTGGAATCCAAACGAGAAATCCTTTCTCCAGCATATTAAGATTATATGAATGTCACAAAGCCTTTATAGATTTGTCAGGAAGCACACCCTCATATACACTGGTGCTTAACATTTTCAAAAGATTAGTTCAAAGAAATTGTTTCTGGAAGATTGCCTGAGGGATGTGCAACCTATCCATTCCTCCCAGTCAGTGGTTTTCAAATATGTTTATACAAAATGAATTCTTATGTAAAACTCCAACATATAAGTCAGATGAAAGTAGTGCTTTATTAGTATAGGTGTATTTTATAAATTCAAATTTCTAATATTTACTCATTAGAAGTCAACTAATGAAAATATTTTCAAATCAGAAATTTGAAATCAGGAGTTGTGGATACAGATGTGGTCTCAGAGGCGCCTACAAGCGAAACTGTTTCTGTCTCTTGTTGGGCCTGCACAGGATGGCGAAACTCCGATTTATATACTTATATGAGTATCCATTGTAATGGGCTCAGGCAGGATTTTTAACTGCTCACCTTAGAGACGGCTCTGATGCAGCCAGTCTGCAGAGCAGCACTGGGGAAGCACAGCTGGGTATTTCGGGGCTACGGAAAGGGTGGGCTGCAGATAGGGGCCGTCACAAAACTATTGGGTGTCGGAAAAGTCATGACGCATTTTTGCAACGAAAAACATAGAAAAATACGTCATGACTTTTCCGACAACCCAATATTACCACCAGCCCAAGACGAGCTAAGTTCAGAAATCAAAAGTACGTATTTACAGGTTTTTATAGCAATATGCCATTTTTCATGACATTTTTATGAGTTTAGAAAGTACTGATTTGTGACAGATTGGCACTTTTAACTAAAAAAAAAAAACAAAAATAAAAACAAAGACAAAACACCACCCAACCCCAGAGTTTGAGGAGCTCTGCTCTAAAGGTCCTCCTGTAGGAGGCCACACCATCGGAGCAGTGGGCCCCGTGGCTTTGTTCCCCTGGGAACATGGCTTCTACCAAAGCATGCCACAGACTGACAAGGAATGCTACAAGAAACAAGCGTGACAGTTCTGGTATCTGGGCATAGGAATGTTTTCGAATGTTTCACATTACACAACATACTCTTTATGAAGACCCAGAGTAGAAATATTTTCTGACCTGAATATGTGCAATAATTGCTTTCCTTCCACAGTTTTTTTTTCTGTTTTAGACTTTGTAAATTCTGCAACTAATCACATTTTCCCCTTTAGGCTGGCTGCTAGGAAGATCAGAAAAAAATCTGTAGCCCATCCCTAATGAATCTTATTTTTCCTTTCCTTATTTTTTCCTGTGCTGCAATATTCTCACTTACATGTTTGTTCTATCTCGTTCAACCACAGGTATTATTGTAAGGCACCTTGAATTTTTCATGTAACATGCACATATGTGCGTATGCATATAGAAATTAATTTTAAAATGCAAAAGATCATTACAGACTATGTACTATCCTAGCACAGTAGTTCCTTGGGATGCTCAACTCCCTACTCCTTGCAGTCTCAGCGGGGCTTGAGTCCCCTACTTGTTAGCTATGGTAACCCTAAATTCTCCACATGGAATCAATCCTCTACTCCCCAGGGAAACGCCATGGCAGGCAGAGAGAACACTGAAGAGTTGTAGAAAACAGCATATGGTGATTACACACTTTCCTTTCCATCCTGTTGTCAGATTTTACACATATACCCACCACTTCCCTTGTCACTGCTGTGTATTCATCTAAACGTTGCCTAAGTTAGAACTGCTTTCATCTACAATATACATATACTATGTATGCTCTTTTCTGAACAAGTTACAAATAATTTTGTCAGAAGGACTTCTGGATACAGAAGCAAAACACTGCAGGATAATGTGCACTCTGGTGCCAGGAGACCTAAGGTTCAGACAGTAGGTGCCCCAACTCCCAGGCTGGGCCCTCAGTCAGTCAATTACCAAGCACAGTTTATAGGAAAGGAGCTGTGTCATGTACCTCTGCTGGATAGAGGGGCTAGGGCAGGGCAAGCTCTTCAGAAAAAAAGACATTAGTCAAACTCAAAGTCCCCTTCTCTGGTCATGAGTGCTCACTGTAGTGACAGAAGGTGGGAGTGAAATCTGATGGGGGCGGGGGTCTCAAACAAATGCATTTCAACTATCCCACTCGCATGGCATCTCTTCAAAGTGAAAAATCCAATTTTTCTCACCTTTTTTAATTACGTCTTCAATTATATGGATACAACTGCTCAATTCTTTCTGGAGTCGCTGAACTTCTAGCAGGCTTTTGCGTTCACATAGGCTTTTGTGGCCGCCTGTCCTGGCACGTGGCTGAAGTTCCAGATCATGGGTGGTTGGCGAATTTGGCATGGTGAAGTCTGACTGTCCTGGATGAGATGTGTACAAGTACACCTTGGCACCTGAACGGGAAATTTCTACTTTGGATGGCTGGTGGCTGCAATGACAGACTTCTAGACTCTTCGATTCCTTCCTTTCCACCCTATGGTCAGATATTTTATGGTTAGTGTGCCCACATTTCTGACAGATTTGGGGCTGACTTCTGAGATTGTGTTCTTTTATATATTCTTCAAGTTTTCTTCGTTTCAAATCTCTTTTGGCCAGGTGGACAGCATAGCTAAGTCTCTCTTCCGATATGACAGAAAATGAAAAAGCACTGCTTTGGTCAGGACCATCTCTAAAGTCCGAATCTTTACAATGGTATGACTCATTGTATGAGTGCTTCAATTTTTCAATTTTGATTGCACGTGGGCAAGAATATCGGATTGCCAAGTTGCTTGAATGTGTAGGAACATTCTTATTAAACTGCAGCTGGTTCTTTAAAAAAAAAAAAAAAAGTAAGCAGTCATTAGAAAAACAACATATTGTATAGTTGGTATATGTCTACAACCAAGTTTCTAAAATTTCACCCACACAATTAATTATTAGTGCTAAGAGGTATTTTTCTTTTGTGCTGGTAAAATCAGCCACTCTCATACACCCCTGAATTCATCACATACTCTTGGTTCTATCTATCCTATGATCACTCAGACCCACAGTATTATCCTTCGGTTTACTAATAGCATGCCAGGATCCTCCTCTAAACATCAACCCAGAAAGCTTCAAGCAGCAACAAGTAAGTTCCCCAACTCCCTGGAGATGAACTTCTGTCCTGTTTCAAAATATCAGCTTCCATCAAGTGACCAATACAATCCATTATGAGCATTCTTAAAAACTGCTCCCAGAGACACCATACGGCCACACAGGGCCTAGGCCATTTGACATTCCTTCTTCAGGTCTTGCTGAGATTTTTCCTCTGGCGGCTGGACCACATCTTTTATCCTGCACCTAAGTTCATCTTGCCCTAAACAGTCCACTACACCTTCTTACGCAGGCTTAAGTTTCTGTCCGTTTGAATCATACTAGATATAAGGTTTGTTTTTTTTTCACTTAACAAAGATAGGCATGTTTCCATATTCCCACAGTTTTCATTATTTTTCATGGTTACATTTCCAAAATCCAATTAATGGCCTTTTTATGCTTAGCCTAACTATAACTTACTATTAAATATTTAGATTGTTCCATGTTTTCCACGAATCGAAATATATTTCAACTAATATCTCCATGCATTTAGTTTTTTTCTCTTTCAAACCATTTCCTTAGGCTAAATTATCTGTTCTGGGATTACTAGGTCAAAGGCAGTAAACAATTCCATAGCTTTGGCCTGTCAACAGGAACTAATGAAGCTTGCGCCATGATCCTGGGAATGGCCTCCCCAACTCTCACAATAAAGTATGTTTATATAATCATGTGTGTGAAGAGTCTATTTAAAATAAACCCATTGTGATAAAACTTCAGGGAAGTATTTTAGAAAAAAAGTTGTTAGAAACCTCAGTAGAGGTTATGAGAGAGAAAAAAACAACGGTTACCATCTAAAGGGTGTACAGACTGATGAACAGCACTTGAAACTTACAGCCTTATGCAGAGGAAGTCTTTTCCCCCCGGAAGTAAAAACAACCTAAATTACCTGGGCAGACAGATGTAAATAATAGAGAAAAAAATATGGGTGAATTACTCTTTAACCTGGGTGTAGAGAAAGGCTTTCTAACTAATGACTCAAAATCCATGTGCAATAAAAGAGTGATAAATTTTACTACATTAAAATAATTTAAAAAACAACTTCTACCTGGTTTTTATGGTTAAAAAAAAACAAACCACAAAGTCAAAGAAGAAATGAAAACTGGAAGAAAAATATTTGTGATACAAAGGGCTCCCTAAATATAAGGAAATCTTAAAAACTAAGGTGAAAAAAAATCAAAACTAAATAGAATATGGGAAAAACACATGATTAGACAATATACCAAAAATACATATAAACGTAGCCCTAAAACATATAAAAAGTTGGTCAATCTCATAAAATACAATTTAAAGAAAACACTGAAGGGCCGGCAGAGTGGCTCGTTGGTTAAGAGTTGGCTTGGGAGCGCCAGCTCTGAGCAGCAGGGCCCCAGTTTGGATCCCACATGAGGGCCAGTGACGCTGTGCCCTTTACAACTAAGATGGTGAAAAACAGCTCAACCTGGAGCTGGGATGCTGTGAGTCACCAGCAATGGCGTAGGCTGCAGTGGGACTGCTGTGGGCTGCCGTGAGCTACTGTGAGTGGCCGGCAGCTGGTGTGAGCTGCCGAGAGCTGCTGTGAGCTGCCGTGAGCAGCCGTCCAATGGCCGGCGAATGACTGCCTCACCGGGGAAGAACACAATGATCACAATACCAACATGGGCCAGTGAAGAGACGTCCTCCACAACTAGACTGAAGAACAAAAGGACAGCAACCTGTCTGTTCCCCTCCCCCAATTCCCTAATAAAATCTTTAAAAAAACAACAACACTGAAATAGCAAGAGATTAGCAGCATTAAAAGGTATGACAACACATGCTGTTGGTGAGGCTGTGGGAAAACAGACACTCTCATAGAGTGTTGGTTGGAACGTAAACTGGTAAAATCCCTAGGGAGGGGAACCTTACAGTATCTAACGAAATTACATATACCGTATTTGCCGGCGTATAAGACGACTGGGCGTATAAGACGACCCCCTAACATTTCCACTCAAAATACAGAGTTTGTTATATACTCGCCGTATAAGACTACCCCCTCTTCCACACACCTTCCACACACCAAATAAAAGGTAAAACAATATCAGATTTGATTTGGCCCACTGAAGTGCAAACAAGCGTATTGTATTTCGTGTCACCACATAACCGTTTTGGCGATGTTGAGCCACCATGTCTGCTACATGTTTTTCGAGTTCTGGCCAGTGTGGGGTGCCTCTTCTTAATGCACACTTACCCCTTGGCATACTCTTTAATGCTTTCTCATTTGATTTCCAGTCCCGAACCATCTTTTCTGTTACTCCATATTGTCTTGCAGCAGCACAATTATTATTTTCCTTAGCAAAGTTTATAACTTTCAGTTTAAAATTTGCATCATACTTCTTTCTTTTGGCTGGTGCCATGATAGGGATGATAGGGGTTTTGACTGGTCGACATTTTCTATGCTGTACTGTACAATGGTGCAGTATTGTGGTTGGCTGTTGGCTGTATACAAAGCCTGATTTGATTGGTCCCTGCTCCCTGTTTGCCCGCCCTGTCACTATAGCAGTCTGGACCACCCTTGCATCAGCATCTCCCTGGGACCTCACTAGTGCGCAAGTGCGAGCTCTTCAACATTCTAACAGGCACCATGATAGCGCAAAATCGCGAATCTTCAATGCATATGTAAAGAAATATACGGTAACCCGAATTTACCACACTCGCAAAATCGCACACAGCCGACCATACACCCAGTATGGTATCGCGATTCGCGATTTTGCGCTATCATACTGGGTGTATGGTCGGCTGTGTGCGATTTTGCGAGTGTGGTAAAATCGCATAACAGCCGAGCATACACCCAGAAGCGCTGCTGATGCCTGAACGGTATGTGGAATGAAGTGGGCGGGCATCGGGAGGCCACTATGGCACGGGGCAAGCACTATGGGCAGTCTATCTGAAGTGTACCTGGCGTATAAGACGACCCCCCACTTGGAGGCATATTTTTCAGGGCCAAAAAATCGTCTTATACGCCAGCAAATACAGTAGGTTTACTTAGTGTCCCAGCAGTCTCACTTCTGGGAATTTTTCTGAAGATACACCTCCATCAATACCTATGCACAGATTACTCATTGCTGTATTGTTTACAATTGCAAAGTACTGGAATCAACCTAAATACCCATGTAGGAGAATGACTGAGTAAACTTTGCTATATCCACACAAAGGAATACTGTGAAGATGTAAAACAAAAATGAGGACGATCTCTATGAATGTCTCTGTGAACGGACGTGGAGGGATTGCTCAGATATACTGTACCGTGAAAAGAGCAAAGTGCAAGAAGAGTATCCGTAATACAGCACCCTTCAAAAAAGCACAGAAATGTTTCATGGGAAAACATACATGCGTCTGATCATTGTTCAAGAAGAGACACAGGAAATAAAATTCAGCGACTATTAAGATTAGGTATATATAGGGTGTGGGTAGGAATTGGGTGGAAAGGATAGAGGGAATGGGAGCGGGGATAACACTTCTCTGAATATACCTTTTTGTACAGGTGCATTTGCAACCATGTTAAGGGCTTCACATATAGTAGAGAGATAGGAAAGAAGGGAGAAAAGAAGGGAGGAAGACAGGGAAGGAGGGAGGATAAAATGAATAAGGATGAAGGACACTCTAAAAATGAATACCAACAGAAACTAACAAACCAAACTGAATTTCAAATGAATAGCAGAACCACACTAAAAAGTGAGGGTTAAAAAAATTAACGCAATTAATTTTTGAACACAGCATTTGGACTATATGACCTCAGGCTAAAAATAAAAAGTACTCTAACCAAATAGAGAATTCTAAACTGTAGGCTTCTCTTTTTGCGGAGGCATGGATTAAAATTCGGAAACATTTTTGTACATTCTAGGATTGTGCAAGTAAGTAATTCACACTGTTGAATAAGGGAATTAAAAATAGGGGAAGTGTTGGATTGGATTTGAAGGTACCTGTGTGAACTCAGACAAATGGGCAGATAGACAGATACTTAGAAAGGGAGGGGAGAATGGAGAAAGAGGGAGAAGGGAAAGGAAAGAGAGGGAGGGGTACAGATGTGAGTGTGGATATAAATGCATGTATGGCACACAAGTATATACAGCTATTTCCCAGTTATGTCCCCTGAGAGCGCCTAGAAACAATAATACCTGAGAATCAATGAGCATATCTAGTACCCAGACATTGATTTCTAAATTCCATTATCCGCTAAAGGGAAGAAGTCACCTTGGATAAATGGCTGATTCCAGGACGGGGACAGGGAAAAAATATGCTAACCCTAGAATATCTTTTTATACCAAAAAGTAGTCAAAGATTGATGAAAACATGTGAAAGAGAGACTGGAGTCAGCTTGAAATGGCTCTTATAGGCCAAGTCAGAGACGATTTGAACATCAAAATACATATTTGAGCATAAAAATAAATAATGTGGGTAAAGGATTATAACCTATTGCATAAAGTTAAGACTCTGTGTATGAGCCTGCTCTGATATAAATAAACAAACAAATACATACATAATTAAGTCACCACTTGCCAACCATCATACTAAATTCATTAAGGCAAATCATCAACGAATGCTAAAACTAGTAGATGAAAGTTTGCGGAGTAAAAAAATATTAACATAATCTCAAGACAGGTATTATCGATTACAAAAGGCAAAAGAATAACTTTACAATGGAAAACTTGGCAGGCACCACCTTAATCAAATGATTAACACTGCCAGTAATGGGACTAATCAGCAGCATGTATTTCCTGATATGATGCACTGAGAACTCAGCATCACTTCAGTGATTTTCCTGCCATAAGTATATAACCTGCATTGAACTCGGAGAAAATGTCAGACAAACTGAAATTGAGAGAAAAATCCTCAAATAACTGGCCTGTATTTGTCAAAAATGACAATATCACAAAACACAAATACAGACTCAGAAATGGTTCAAATGAAAGGAAACTTAAGAAACATGATCTTGGGTTTTCTTTTGCTACAATATAAAGGACATTTTCCAGGATAACTAACAAAATTTCAGTAAGGTCAGTAGATTACATGATAGCATACATGATAGCATTATTTTAACATAATTTCCTGATTTTGATCACCGTACTATGATTATGTAAGAGAAATCCTTGTGTTTAGTAAATACACACACAAGGACTTAGGAATAAAAGGGCATCATGTCTACAACTTAATCTTAACCAGTTTAGAAATAGTGTGCGTGCGTGTGTGCGTGCGTGTGCGTGTGCGTGTGCATAGAAAGAGAGAAAAAGTGAGGGAGGAAGAAGGGAAGAGGGAGGGAGGGAGGGAGGGAGGGTGTAATAAAATGTTAATATTTGGGAAATCTGGCAGAAGAGTGTCCAGAATTCAGTGTACCATTCTTGCAACTTTTCTTTCAGTCTCAAACTACGTACCGTATGTCAAATTAAAAACGAAAATTTCTTTGTAAACCACATCCACCAGAATGGCTACATATATATATTTTTTTCCTTTTTTTTTGCAATTTATTAAAACTTTGTTTAAACACTCATTTTGCAACACACAAACATATACAGAGGGTATCAAAAAATATATACACATTTTAAGAAAGGAAAACAACTATTAAAATTGTAATACTCAATATATACTGATAACAAAAGATGAATGAATACAGGTCACATTTGACTTCTGCAATTACAAGAGGTGCTCAAAGTGGTTACCATCAGTGTCCAGACACTTCTGATTATGATGAACTACTGCTTGAGCAACGCTGACTGAAGTGTCCACTTGTATACATTTTTTTGGCACCCCTGGTATTAAAAACTCCTTGTATTTAAAACATTAACTTATTCCATATATAATAAAGCTACCTCTCTCCTGTGGCATATCTTTTTTATTAGTTTCAGGTGTACAAAACAACAAATTGATTACAGACATTTATATACCTCACAAAGTGATAACTCCAATAAGTCTATTACCCATCTGACACTGTACACAGTTATTACAACATTGGCTATATTCCCTATGCTGTACTTTATATGACTCTTTTTTTTAATTATAGTTGACATTCAATATCATTTTATATTAGTTTCAGGTGTACAGCGCAGTGGTTAGACATTTGTAAGATTTATGAAGTGATTCCCCCAAATAAGTGTAGTACCCATCTGACACCATACATAGTTTTTACAATATTATTGGCTATATTCCCCAAACTGTTCTTCTTTACATATTGCCATGACTATTTTGTAACTACCAATTTGGACTTCCTAATCCCTTCACCTTCTCACCCAGCCCCCAAGCCCCTCCCATCTAATAACCATCAGTTTGTTCTCTGTATCTATGAAACCTAGTTCTGTTTTGTGCATTTATTCTGTTCTTTAGATTCTACATATAAGCGAGATCATATGGTATTTGTCTTTGTCAGTCTGACTTATTTCACTTAGCATAATACCCTCTAGGTCCATCCATGCTGTTGTAAATGGTGAGATTTCACTCTTTCTTATGGCAGAGTAATATTCCACTGCATATATGTCCAGAATAGCTATAATTTTAAAAAGAACACTACATGCTCGCAAAGACGTGGAGTAACTGGAGGAACTCTCCTTTACTGTTGGTAGGAATGTAAAATGATAAAACCACTTTGGAAAAAGCTCTGTTGGTTTGTTAAAAATTAAACATACACCTATCCTGTGACCCAGAGCTTTTATTCCCAGATATTTACCCAAGAGAAATGAAAACATGTTTACAAAAAGATTTGTACAAGAATATTCATAGCACCTCCATTTATAATAACTCAGACTAGAAACAGCCCAGGTATCCATCAACTGCAGAATGGATAAACAATCTATGGGCACATTCCTGCTATGAATACCACTCAGTACTAAAAGGGAACAAAGCACTGATACATCTAACACATGGAGGAATCTGAAAAACATTATAACCAATGAAAGAAGCCTTCTACAAAAGAGTACATAGTATATGATTCCATTTATACAAGTTCTAGAAAAGACAAAATTGGTTTGTGGTGGAAAAAAATCGAAAGGTGGTTGCCTCTGGAGAATAGGGTGGGGGTTGACTGGGAAGGGGCATAAGAGAACCTTCTGGGTAATGGAAATGGTCTGTATCCTGAAAGCAGCATGGGTTACACATGTGTATACATTTGTCAAAACCCAGCAAATGTGACAATATGTATATATTTCAACGTATTCATTTCTGATAAAAAATCTACATCAAAAGATAAAAAGTTAAAAAGAATGAATTCTAGGATATAATATACATGAAGTAGTTAGGGTGCCTGTGTCTGCAATTTACTTTGATGTATGTCAAAAAATAAGATGGATTAATGAATGGATTCTAGAGGGATAAACATGCAATTAAATATAGTGAAATAGTAATGGAATCTAGGTATTTGCTGTGAAATTCAACTTTGCTACATGTTTGAAGATTTTCATAAAACAATGTTGGAGGTAAAGATATTTTGGGACAACTGATTCAATAAAGACTAGTTAGATAATATTAGAAAAAAATTTTGATCCATTTCTTAGGTGTGATCATGGTATTATGACTAAGTAGAAGAGTTTATTTTTAGGATCAGTATTCTAAAATATTTGGAAGTGAAGTGTCATGATATCTGCAACTTACTTTGAAATAGTTCTGCAAGCATTTTAGAGAGTTGGGTAGATAAAAAAAAACAGGACAAATTGTTACAACTGTTGAAACTAGAAATAGGTTTAAAAGGTGTTCGTTGTCATTTTCTTTCAGCTTTTATGTTTAAAATGTTTCAGAATAAAATATGAAGAGAAAAGCAAAACTACCTGGGTCTGAAGTCCCATGGGGTCACTCCTCCCATCCAGCTGGACACCAGATGCTAGATGAACACAGGTTGAAGCTTGTCTGCCTGGTCCCATCATGTCACGGTTTAGAGCAATAGTGAAAGGCTAATCATCAGCCAACACTTCTTCCCTAAAACCATTGCCTAAAATGAAAGAAAGCTACTTTCAGACCAAGCGTCTTCAAACAAAGGGAAAGAATAAGTAAAACACAGAGCCATGCTCACGAAACAGTTTTCTACAAGTAGTCCATAGCAACCTCATACTACAGAGCAAATGCGCGAAGACTGATATGAGTTTCTTTCATTTACAAAAGCAACGACACTTTTGAAATTTCCAAAAGAATAGGGGGACACACTATTTTCATAACCATCTCTTGGGCCATTTTCATTCTAAATTTCAAATCTCAAGGGTCTCCAGTAAGACATGATTCCCCAGAGCTATTATGGTAAACAAGCACTTCCTAGCTGGGCGGTTTTACGGACATACAGTCCACATCAATAGATCCTAACCACTAGACAAAGAGCAGTCATGCTTTACTAGGTAGCTCAAAAGGACATAAACCTACAAGATCAGGATATCTAAGATTTATGCCAGGATCTGCCATTAACAGTGGAATGACCTCTCTAAATCTTCAATTTTCCCCATCCTCTCCCCATCCTGTACAGTGAGATAAAACATACAAAAGCATTGTGTAAGCCATTATGGGGTGTACTCTTATCACTGCCTTTCCCTAGTCTGAATGCCTCCTGAGAGACACTTCATTATCCCCGTCCTCATCACGTGTTTGTCTTAGGTTGTCATTTACCTATGTCACAGGTATATGTCCCATCTTCCCAGCTAGACAAGGTTCCTTGAGGGTAAGGGCCTTGTCTTGCTCTTCTCTGATATTTCCCACAACACAGTGCTTTGAGCATAGTGGACAACTGAACTCAGTATTTGTTGAATTAAGCTGATTTTCCCATAAACTAACTAGTGTTAAATGTATTGGGGAATTTGTTCTCTCAAAGAATCCCATAGTAAATCAACTGGGAAATTCAGGTTTTAATTTAAGCTGTTGAATAAACCCAACGTTTGTAGGCTGAATTTGCTTAAAGACAGATACATCTGAAGGAATATAAAGGCAGTTGTACAAGATTCCTTATTTCTAAGGCTGTGGAGACATGATCAAACACGAAGATGGGAGGAGGCACATGAGCAAGGCAATCCCAACTGGCTTGGTATCACCACAGTGCAGGGGCTGGAGCCACAGAATGAAGGAGCCTGGGGGGCGTCTGCAACATTTATGGGGTCAACACTTCCCCCTAGGATGCCAAAGGCCTAATAATCCATTCTCCACCAGGAAAAAAACTAGGTGATCTACACAGTTCCAGGATACCTTAAGTGATGCTACACACACACACACACACACACACACACACACACACACACACACACACATACACACATAAAGTCCAGGGACACCCACCCCCAAACTGTTCCCCTGTACAAAGTCCTGGGACACTGCTCTCTTTGCAACCTGTCCCTTTCCAATTGCTCCAGGAAACCTCCCAATTTGTTACACCACATACCGTGCGACATCTCCACAAAGTATCTCTCTCCCCCATCCTGAGACACCCCTACAGCCTGTACCTTCATCCACAACCCAGGACAAATCTCCCCCCAAACTGTTCCCTCCCAAAGAGTCCCAGGATCCCCCCAACTTGTTCCTGACAGACTACTGGAATGCTCCCCTCAATCTGTCCTCCCCCACACAATTTCCTCCCAAGTTGTTCCCTCCCACTCTGATTCCAGACGCTCCTCCAGCCTGACCCCTCCCACTCTGCTGTGGGTGACCTCTGAAATGGCCACCTGTTTCCTCCCTTGAAACTGGGGGCTCTTCCACAGCGTCATTCACCCCCATGGTCGTTCCTGTCCCTGACAATCCTGGCACATTTGGATAGTCTGTTTCTTCCTCTACAGACCCTGGGCAGGTCCATAACCTGTTCCCACGCCCACAGGTGTAAGACGTCCCTGCGGCCGGGCTACTCCTTGCTAGCCCCAGGATGCTTCTCCGTCCTGTCTCCTCCTCTGAAGGCCCAGGTCCCTCTGCGGACTGTTCCCGCACTACTGTGAGGCCTGAGACAGCAGCACTTGTCTCTTCTCCCGTAGACCCAGTCACCCACACTGCAGCAGGCACGTGCCCCGCCACGGGAACGCCTACAGCTGCAAGCACCCCCAACGACAGAGGTACCCTCACAGCCTCAGGGACTGCTCCACTGGGCCTCCTTCTCCACATGCCTGAGACACCTTCAGAGCCAGTCTCCCTGTCCACAGGTCCTGAAGCCCTGGAAGCAGCAGGCACCTCAGTCGCCGGTCTCCTTCCCCATACAACTGAGACATCCCCAGAGTTAGTATCACCCACTATCGGTCCAGGAACCCCAGCAGCTGTAGGTGCTCCCACAGCCATGGAAACTCTAGCAGCCACAGGCATCTCAGCAGTTTGTCTTCTTTCTGATAAGCCCAAGAGACTCCCAGAGAGTGTCTCCCCCCTCACATGCCCAGGTACCCCCGAAGCTGTGCACAGCCCCACAGCCATGGACACCCCTGCAGTTTGCTTCCCTCCTGCCAAGCCTGAGACATCCCCAGGACCCATCTTTTCCCCTCTGGGCCCAGGCATCCTGGCAGTGGTGGGCATCACCATTCTTGTGGGGCCCTTGGCATCTGCAGCTCCTTGCACTGTCTCTCTCTCTCCCCACAAGCCCGAGACACCCCCAGAATCCGTCTCCTCCCACACTGGCCTGGGAGCCACGGGCACTCCGCCAACTAAGGGCACCCCTGCAATCTGTCTCCTTCCTGGCAAGTGCGAGAAACCCCCAGAGCCAGTCTCCACTCCCAGAGGACCAGGCACCCTAGGAGCCATGGACAGCTCAGCAGCCACAGGAACCCTAGCACTCTGTCTCCTTCCCCAAGATCTTGCGACACCCCTAGAGCCAGTCTCCTCCCCGACAAGCCCAGCTACCTCAGGAGCCACAGAAACCCTGTCAGTCGTGGGAACCCCACTGGCCTGTCTCCTTCCCCACGCTCCCAGAAAAGCCGCAGAGCCAGCATCCTCTCTCACGGGCCACAGCTCTTCGGGAGACACGGGTACCCCTGAAGCCACAGGTATTCTGGCAGCATGAACTCTCTCCCACAGGTTCAGGACATCGCTAGAGCTGCTTTCCGGACACGTCGGGCCAGACACCCACACAGCAGCAGGCACCCTCCCGGACCCAGGCACATCCATCGCTGTGGGTAGCCCTGCTGCAGGAGTGCACCTGTGCTTGGGCATGCCCGATGCCTCGGACAGCCCCACTGTCTCAGGCAAGCCCACAGCCTGTCTCCTCCTGCACAAACATGAAATATCCCCATAGCCAGCCTCTTGATCCACAGACCCACATACCCCTAAAGCGGCAGGCACCAGAGCCTCTTGCTCCCCCATAGTCTGCCTCCTTTCCCACAGACTCAGGACATTCCCACAGCATGTCTCCTCCCCAACAAACCCTGGCACTGCATCAGCCAAAGGTACCCGCACTGCCTGCTGCCTGTCCCACAGGCCAGGGATGCCACCATACTGCCCATGTTCGCTCCTGGCTCCCAGTCCCAGCCCAGCCTGGGACACCCCCACAGGTTCTGTTCCCCACACACCCGGGACATTCCCGCCTCCTGTCTCCTTGCCCAATGCCCTAGGTACTCCCATGGCCTGTCCTACACCCCACAGGCCTGGAGCACCCCCAGGACCTGCCTTGTGCTCATCAGGACTAGATACCTCCGCAGTCTGTGCAGCTTCCCATGACCCTCGGTCACCTCCAGAGCCTGTCTCTACCCACACAGCCTGTCCCCTTTCACTGAATCCTGGGTCACCGCCACGTCTAGTTTCCTCTTCGGTAGAACAAGGCACCCCTACAGGCTGTCCAGTGCCCCATGGGCCAGGGATACCCCTAGGGCCTATGTCTTCCAGAGCTTGTCTGCTCCGCCACATGCCTGGAACACCCACAGAGGCAGTTACCTCCTCCACAGCATCAGGCACCCCCGTGGCCTGTCCCCTGCCCCACAGGCCTAGGGTATCCCCACAGACTGCCTCCTGTGCCACAGCCCCAGGCACCTGTACTGACTGCCCTCTCTCCCACAGACCTGGAGCACCCCCACAGCCTCTCCCTCCCTCCACAGCTCTGGGCACCTCCACAGCCTCAGGCCACACCATGGCCCCAGGAACTCCCATAGTCGGTCCTTTTGGCCAAGGGCCCGGAGCAGCGCCATAACCTATCTCCTCCACAGCTCCAGGCACCCCCACAGCTTGTCCTCTCCCCAGCAGATGTGGTGCAACCCCAGACCTTGCCTCCACAGTCCCAGGCACACCCACAGGAGGCGCCCTCACAGCGTGTCCCTGCCCACACAAGCTTGCGGACCTCTCACAGCCTGGCCCTAGGTCACTAGCTGTAGATGTTCCTGCGGCCTGGGGGACTGTCCTAGCCTGTCCCTTCACCCACGGTCCTGTGAGACCACCACGGCTGGTCTCTATCCATGAAGCCCGGCCAGGTACACCCCTTTCAACTGGCCCTTCTCCGGCTGGCACAGGAAGGAGTTGGACTCGGCTTCCTTCCCCGCATCCCGAAGCTGCCCTCATAGCCTGCACCTTCAGCCACAGTTCCAGAATACTCTCATGCCCCATAGATCCTGGGCGGCCTTTTCTCTCACAGCCCCGAGGACTCCTATAAACCGTCTCCTCCTCCTCTTCCTCCTCCTCCTCCTGCTCCCCCCCAATGCCAGTCACCCACACAGACCCGGCAGGCCCCACCACCTGGGGTTCCCCCACAGTTCCGTTCACCCACACAGCCCCGGGGTCCCTTGCAGACTCAATAGAGCCTGCAGTGCCAGGTGTCTCCGAAGCCTCGTTCGCCCCTTCCGCCTCAACTGTCTCCGCCGCCTGTCTTCTCCCCCATGGCTGCCGACAGTCTTGCAGCCTTTCTGCACTCACACAGCGCGTCCCCCACACCGAGGACCTCATCCGGCGCCTAGCTCCACGGCCTCGGGACGTCCCTGCACCCCACCTCTTCCCCCATGGCCGCCGAACTCCGCGCCCCGACCTGCTGGGCCCCACACAGCGGCCCGGCATCTCTGTCACTCGCTCGCCCCTGCGCAGCCGAGGCAAGGCCCCGCGGCCAGCCGCCCTGCTCATAGCTCGACGACAAAACCCGTCTTCCCCAACGCGGCCCCAGGGCACTTTGTCTTAACACCTCGTTCCCAAGACTGCTCCACACACGCACTCACACTCAGCTCCAACCTCGTACCCTTATTCCCTTCCAGACCCCCACCCCCGCCCAGTCCTGCACGCCCGCCCCCCGGTCCCGGGCACCCCCAAAGCCTAGGCAGGAGAATAGGTAATTGGGGGCGACGAGCGGCAGGAACCGCCCCGGGTCAAGGTCTCCTCTCCCCCAGGTCCATGATTCCTAACGCAGCTTCCCAGAATCCCCCCAGCCCCGGCCCAAGCCCACCTGGCCTAAGGCGAGGCGCGGCTACTGGGAAGTGGGCGGGGACGAGGGTCCCGATTAGGCCTCGCTTCCGGCTGTGCGCCTAGTCGCCATAGCAACAGGCGCAGGGCGGCTTGGGAGCCGTTAGGAATCCTAAGCCACCTAAGGGTTCTGGGGCGGCGCGGAGACAGTTTTTGTAGCCGCTGTACATGAAGCTGGGGCCCAGACCAGATTAGGGCAGAGCCTGGATTTCGCAATGGAGCCAGCACCGAAAGATCGGAGAAGTGAGAGCGGAAAGACAGTACGGGTGAGTTATGGCCTTCAGAGGCTCCCGTAGCACCTCCTAGTTTTGTGGGCTCCCTTAGGCACCGCCCTGCTCCTTGACCACCCGGAAACAGCTTCGCTCCGCCCCACATGGGGCCCGTGTCCCAGCAGAGCGACCCAAAGACTCCTGCAGCTGTCCGCCGCGCGCATTCCCGATGGCCCACTACGAGGAGGTGAGTGTGTCCGGTTTCGAGGACTTCAGCCGGGCTGTGGAGCAGCACAAAGGGAAGACCATTTTCGCGTACTTTACCGGTTCTAAGGACGCTGAAGGGAAAAGCTGGTGCCCCGACTGCGTGCAGGGTAAGGCCGGGATTCGGGGGCTGCTGCCCAGAGGAAGTGACAGGAAGGCCGAGGCTATGGCCAGAGAGCGGGGTTGAGGCAGAGGAGGTAGTCTTGCCCCCGGAGATCTGCAGGGCGATCAGAGCTGTCATCTTGCCTCTTTTGCCTCCTTCTCCTACCCCGTTCCCTTCTCTCCTGCTATTAAGTCCTTCCCCGCCCCTAATGCTCTTTGTACCATCCGACCCATACAATCTTGGAAGCCAGTCCTTTCAAACTTTTCACGTCCCCAATGATTAATGTCATAACAGTAGACGTGAATTGGTCTCCTTTGGCTGTCAGCAGATATTGATGCCTTCCATTGCTATGGGCGCTGTGGTGTGGGGACATATCAGGACTGGGACTTAGTCCTTCTTCAAGTGGCTCTCAAATCAGAGAACACCTGACTTCTGTTAATCTCCGTTAACCGTAGGTTAAAGTCTGAGTTCCTAGCAACACTGAGGGGAGGGGAGAAGGGCACTGTGTATCTGTGCCTGATTGTACAGTTGATGTGTAATTAC